CGCCAGATTACACGTGGCAGGCCTCGCCGGAAATACGTAGCTCTTAGTTTTTCTGAAGGAGCAGCATGTAAAACGCCATGCCTTCAAGTACTACCTATGTAAGATACAACGCCAACAGTTGTCCGAGTCACCTACAAGCAAGTGCGAACGAAACGCCGCACCACCAAATGCCTTCTACATTCATCGAAAACCCGACGGCAGTTGCATCATTTTTGGGCGGGATTTTACTACTGAAAAAAAGAAGCGGGTGGTGGGTGGTTGGGTGCCCAACATGAAACATGAACCGTTCGACGAAACGTTAACTACCTACGCATACAACGGGGGCACCGTAAATTGACTGACGCAAATGGCGAAACATCAATGCAACACCAGTACTATTGATGCCGAAAGAGGTCTCAAGCTACTGCTGTTTTTAGTACTAGACTATTATACAGGAAAAACACACGTTCTAGGCACCAACAACGTGCCATACAGAGAGTTTACCGCTGGGAACCTATCCTGCGGCTTAGCTTGCCACTGTACCTCGACGTAGCTGACAGCCCTCTTAATCCTGTAAAACTGATGGCAAAACAAACACATGCCGCGTCGAGGGGGAGAGGGGAACAAAGCCTTGCCTCCCGTTGAATCACTTCAAAAAATAGAAAAAACGTCGCATTCGAAAAAAATTCAAACAACTTCTGGCGAGGGGGAGTTGGCCCACCAGCCCTGGAACTCAGCAAGGGAAATCTTGCCGTCGTTGTCGGTGTCCATGATGATGCACGCCGCCTCGACCTCCGTTGGCCGCAACATCGCTCCGAGGGACTATTGTTAGTCGTGTGGTGATTGGAAGTAAAGCACGAGGAGAAAGAGCAGCAAGAAGGGCAAGATAACAATGAGAGAGGGCGAGAGGAGAGAGCGAGCGAGAGAGAGAGAGAGAGAGAGAGAGAGAGCGAGCGAGAGAGAGGGAACTAAATATTACTTCGTTTTGACAAAAAAGTAACCGCCATGCATACAAACAAGGATTGAACGCAGGGGTCTCCAACGATTGAACCGTTCGACGCATGCATGCATGTGGTCAGTCAATCCATCTACAACGGCGAGCCGGCCGCGGTTGCATCTGAGTCTCTGACAAACAAGCAGCAGCAATTCAAGAAATAAAACCAACAAAGAGAGGCAAAGCCGTGAGGGGTTGGCATGGACTGCTAAACTAGCGACGCGGAGTCACTCAAAATGGAAAACGCAACTGCCCGGCGGAATTCGCGTCCCATTTCTGCGATGCTACTCCGTCAGTCGCACAGAACTTGTGTGAAGCAGACAAGCACAAGGGCCCCTCGACCCAACGCAGCAACACCGACAGCAAAGCTTTTCAGACCCAGCGCAGAGGTCAAACGAAAACAACTACTCTCTCAGGAGTACACCACGTGTACAGCACAACATCTACAGTACCTCGAGAAGGTTGCCCAGCTCCGTCACGTCCAGGACTGTCAGGTACCACCCATCACCATCACCACCACCAACACCACCACCATCGTCACATCACATCACATACGAAGACATGACGGGGATGAACATGGCCGACATGTTGACAGACAGACCCCCCGAGAGTTAGATGGGTGAACGCCGCGGGTAAGACAGGAAGGAGAGACACAAGCGAGGGAAAAAAGGGAGGGGACAGAGGGGACAGCGGAATCACGATTGGCAGGAGGGTGGGGACAAAGAGAACGCCTTTAGTCAAAGGTATTGCGAGCATGGAACAGATCGGCTCAAGGAAGGTATGTGCACATTGCGGCCAAGTCTCGGGCGACGTCGTTATGTGCAGCAGATTGGTCGACACCCGCAAACCAGGGTTCATGTTTCACTGCCACCGATTTGGCCAATCTATTTGCGAACATCAACCTCGCGTCTACGCTGAGAACGTGCGTGCATCCATCCCCTCGCCAGAGACGCACCCGAAATCACCTTGACTACGCACGCTGTCCAACACTTCCAAATGAACGCATGTGATGACTCATGCGACCAGTTTTCCTTGGTTATGCGCGATGTCAAAATGCTTTGAATGGGATGATCAAGACGAAATCAGCCAAAGCTGCAGGTAGCAGCATGCAACATCTTACCGCCATCTTGGTTGTGGTCGAACTTCCTGAACATGCCCTCGACAACCTCGGGGTTCTTCATCTCTCCGTGAAGAGCGTCGAGGTTCTTGTAGGCCTCCTGGCCCCAGTAGATCATGCCTTCATTGCATCGTACGACGACATATTTGTCTCGGTGAGAAATGCCTACTATTTCGTACCAAGACTGGCCCAGAGAGAGCATACATTACCTAAACACACGGATAAAATGTCATGATGTGTTGGACTGTTGTATTCGGAATTAATAAAATGTTCAGTGTTGGTGATGAAAACTTGCAACCGCAGTGTGCGAGGTTTTAAGGATTAGCGGGGGTTCGGGAGGCGTTGGTAGAGCTTAAGAGCGTTTCACCCTCGACCCCTGATCTATGAAAAAAAATAAAGTCTGCATCGTTATGTAGGGAGCAAACAGAAGCACATGTCGCATCCACACCAAGAAAAAAGGTCAAACAAAAGGGAACACATGGCTAGAACGACAGCCTCAGCAATGCAAACACGGCGAAGCACGAGCACCATCAGGATAAGAGAGAAGGGCAACACCGAACAAGGAACAAGGAAAACGGCCCCATGTAGGGACTAAAAAAACGGGTCACCTGCACCGATGATGACGAGGTACAACCCGACGAGAATGCTGATGAACACCCACTGACGATGTCATGACGACATCGCAACAGCAGGAGCAGCAGGGGCAGCAGGAGTAGCAGGAGCAGGTGCAGGTGCAGGTGCAGGAGCAGGAGCAGGAGCAGCAGCAGCAGCAGGAGCAGGAGCAGGAGCAGGAGCAGGAGCAGCAGCAGAAGCAGCAGCAGCAGCAGCAGCAGCAGCAGCAGCAGCAGCAGCAGCAGCAGCAACAACAGCAGCAGAAGGGGCAGCGGAGGCGGCAGCAGCACAACCGCCAGAAGTTGGAAATTTAGCGGGGGCCAGTTGACCGGTGCACAAAATACCATTTAAAATAGTAGCGATACTCATCCTAGAGAGACAGCGACTTTCAATGTACGTATCAGCTGCAAAAAAAAACAGGTTGTCTATGTAGCAAGGACTGGGTGATCGCTAAAAACACAGATTGCAAGAAAAAATGGCATCAATCGAACACAACAGCTCTTTGGCCGATCTTCAAATGAACAGATGGGCTGAAGGATCGGAGCAAAGACAAGTCCAGAGCCGTGGTCGTTTTCTTTTCCTACGCAAGCGTGCCACGTCTTCATCGTAAATCCTCGCCCGGCTGTCATTTCAAGGGCGGCGGCAACACTCCGGTCAAGATCGTCGAAAACTGGTCGAGTTGCGCGGCTTTCATTCCGAGGGCGGCGGCAACAAACACGTGCATAACCCCGAACACTGGTCGGGTTGCGCCGCTATGTTCCAAGTGCGGGGCCGCGCATCCATGTTAGGAGCCTCGTGCATACATACCTGTGCGAGAGCGAGGGTCCCGACAAAGATGAAGAAGGCCCCGCGGCCCCACACCACCGTCGTGAAGGCGCAGTACTTGTGGATGTTCTGGAGAGGAGGGCACGCAGGACAACGCGCACGTTCATGACAGTTACAGAACGAACACATGCTCCAGGACGCCAGCACGAAGCAAGGGCAACGGCGTGACCTCCGGGACACGCTAGGAGAGCGATTCGCTATCTCACGGGCAATTATACCGTAAAGACTGGTTTCTGTCTAGAGGCATGCCGCAGAGGGTGGATGACAGTTAAAACATCCAAACGAACATACATCGCACTTCAAAAATCGTCAATAAACAGCATTGATATTGCCGTCAAGACTGAAGTCGGTCAGTCAGCGGGTGTCGTAGATGCCTTTGAAAGTGATACCCGCGACAGAGCAACGTGATTGTGCGGCTCGAAGCTCTACCTAGCGGCCTTTGCGAAAATCAACGGTTATCGGTACGACGTGGGGAGTCGTGAGGGCGGGCAAACACACAACATACGGCTAAGCATAAACATATCGATATGAATAGTGTATAGACCAGTCATTCTACCGGGGAAGTGAAAAGTGAAAAGTGAAAAGTGAAGAAATGAATAAAAGGCTTTGTGAATCATACCGAAAACAAATCACCGGAAAAAACAAACAAAAGAAACACTGCCACACACGGAGAGACAACTGCATGGGATACCCAGGCCACACCAGTCGGCAAAGAGCACACGAGCGAACTTGAGATATTGGGATAAATATGAAACCGCCAGTTTCAGCAGGAACGTACGTAGACGATCTTCTTGGGAAGGATGCTGCTGCGGGCCTCCAGGAGCAGGATGGCCCAGCCGAAGGCAAACATGTACAGCTGCCCCGCCGACCACAAAGGGTTTCCACGACACGACGCCCATTCCAGCAGCGTCGATCACAGCAAGAAAGGGCAACAGAAGAGCCGCCATTCCAGCAGCATCGACCACAGCAGCAGCAAGAGAACGAGACAAGTTGCGTGAGTTCATGCTTGATGCTTGTCTCGAAAGTAGCAACAGGAGACGAGCGGGGGATCCATATTTGAGTAAACTAGAGGCGGTTGTCAACCAGGCATGATGTTCACCCTACTGCAAACATGAAGTGTGGGGGGATACCCACCACTCGGTGTCAGTTTTAAGCGTTGATGATCACTTATGACTTGATGACCACCTTGATCACATACACGTTCACTCCCAGCACTCCCAGCAACGAGCTTAATCCACACCTGCTGCAACGCAGAGCCTTACAAGGACTACGAGTTCTTCCGCAGTACTCTTATCCCAAAAACTACAATAGAAGATCAAACCATTAGGCTAGCCAGTACTGACCACTCTAACGGACTACTCTAACGGTTTGATCTCGGCTCCGGTGAACCTCTGCCTGGTTCAAAAAGCGATCGATCCGTAGACAGGACATGCCGCAAAGACAACATCGGCTACGGTGCCGAATCACACATACGTACTGCCGGTTCCGAACTTAGAGGGAAGGCAGAGGGAAGGCAGGGAGTGACCTTGTTTCCGATACACAGAAGCCCGTACCTGTACATGGGACACTTGCCATAAATGATTCCCCATTACTCACCCTCCCGTCTACGCCACTCCATTGCCCACCAAGCCCCGTTTCTGACGATGAAGCTCATCTGCAATCACGGCTGACAAAACACATCTACACCACCGCTATAGATCGCGTCGGTATGCTAAGCGTAATAGCTTGGTCTGGGGCCCAAAGTGAAATGTACCTGCTAGGTGCCCCACAGCGAATATACGGCACGCACGACCACAATGCGTTCGACTTTCGGCGCAAACAGTGGCCCGTCGGAAGACAACGGCCAGAGACATAGTACATTATGTTCCAACACCGGTAAACGCCGACTCCAGATCGATGTCTTTTACTGCCACGGCAAGTTACTATGTGTTACGTCCAACGAATGCAGATGGAATCGGCGAGTCGAGTTGTCTTTCTTACAAGTAGAGAGGCGACAGGGGCGACCGGGGGAGCGCGAGGAGTGAGGCTCATGCCCGTGACAAGCGGAAGAACTGAAGAACTGCACTGTATTGACTCACGTGCACAACAGCGTCGACGGGGTGCAGCGTGAAGAAGCTCCCGAAGAAGGAGAAGAACCCGGTCACCACCAGCAGGATGCCCGCGATGTCTGTCAAACAAAGAAGAAAGAAAAAGTGAAATCGGGTGAAAACAAGAGGGGAGGCACCCAGAGACCGAGAGAGAGAGAGAGAGAGAGAGAGAGAGAGAGAGAGAGAGAGAGAGAGAGAGAGAGAGAGAGAGAGAGAGAGAGAGAGAGAGAGAGAGAGAGAGAGAGACGGCGAGGGAGATACGTAGGCCGGGTGAAGCAACATAGATAGCTTTGCAGGGTCGCCCCTTGAATACGAGGGGATGGAGGCAGGCTGCTCGCCTCCCGCGTGCTACTTGGTCTATTGTGGTGACAAAATACATGTCATAGAGGAAAATAAATGCTGCAATCGAAATCTACGGTTTGACTTACTGCCGCGTCTTGCAAAGGAGCTGATCCTTGCCAGTGAAAATTGGTGTGGGAATCAAGGACACACTCAGCAATGGCACTTACTGACCAAACCAAATGCTGAGGTTGGAGCTTATTTCAAATAACTTACGTCCTAGCTAGCCAGGACTCCGCAGCACCTGTGTTGGTCGTCCTTCCATAAGCCAAACGCACTTCAGCCCGTCACAGGGAAAGGCACCACCCAAACGAAGTCAATTATGACCGTACATAGTCCATGCGCAAGCCGGATTTTCCCTCCAATATTGTCACACACCAAGCGCGTTCTGAACAATGTCCTGTCACGGTTGACGGTTGTCCAGCTATGCATACAATATACCACACCAAAGGTCTTGACGGTCTACAAAACGAAGGTTTCACAACCTACACGTCGCGGACACTTTCATCAGACTTACAGGACAGGATCTTGATGGACACGGGCCCGTCGCGCATGTTGAGCACCATGTTCTGTATAGTTGGTGGTCACGTCGTCGTCGATTTCGTAATATGGGATGGTTGTTCGCCGTTCCGTCACGAGGGCCACGCAAGACACACCCGGCAGCCAGAAACCACCGTGTCGTCGGCACCGTCGTCATCGGAATGTCGCATCGTGTCGTACGGGTTAGGTTAGGGGTAAGGCTAGGTTAAGGATAAATACACCCGAGTGTAACGAGCAAGTAGAAGTGAGGACACAGAGGGGACAAACACAACAGCAGCGGGTGAGCAATCCAATGAACGCATTGCCACAGGACAACAAGCCAACCATGAACGAAGCACGCGGTGGTAAGCCAGTCCTTTGACATGCCGTCACACGACAAGGCGGAGCCGATCCGGAACAACGCCCACAGCAAAGGAAACGAGCCACCCCACATTAAAGCTGCTCGCGCTACTAAAAGCGCCAACTTTTCGCATCGGCGCTTCTCCTCCACCTCAGCGTAACGCCGCCAACCTAGCACACAATGATGGTGCAACCCCCCGAAAAAAAGCGTCACGCCCGGACCCCTACCGAAAATTTCAGCTTTGTACCCACAATCATTTCCCTGGAAAAAATGCCTCCACACGGGGTGGCTGGGTGTTGTGGCCTGTGTTCAGCTTGCTGTAAAGCCGATCAAGAGTACGGCTTCCTGCGTGTGGCCACAAAAAATAAAAAGCTGGAGGTAGGCCGACATGTACTTCACCCCACCCGTGCTAGCCTAGTCTAGATCTGCCGAATCTGCTCGTGCTGAGTCAGGAACCACTCTACCATTCTAGGTGGTGGCTAAATGTTGGTACGTCACAAACATATTGCAAAGGTTTGGACTTGCGCCCGAGGCATGGACGGGATGGCAAAAAAAAAAAAAAAATCTCGTCTAACCTTGATCTTGGCGGCCTCGGTCTTGGCCGCCTCCATCGCTGCTCCAGCCACCGCCGTCGCCATCAGCTTAGAGTTCTGATTCCATTCCATTAGACAGTTCGCGGTCACGCGGCGCCACAAGACACGGAGACGAGACAGAGGGGCTGTGAGTCGATTATCTGCACTATGTTAAGTCCAAAGGCCGAAGCGGTACTGTTGTACATGTAGAAGAAGACCGCGCGTTGCTGCTACAAGTACTAGGGTCGGTAAATCAGGCGTGTGGGCAGGACTCCACAGACGCCACGCGTCCCAAACAACGGCACCATACCTAAGAGGACATGCACCGGACCAGTATTCAACAACAAAATACCCACATTCTTCAACACACCCAAACACGCCTCCGTGCCTCCCACCGCTGGCCAACACCGGGCCTTACCCTGCATCACTTGGGTATCCTTAGGTACTACTGAAGTATCCTTAGGTACCGTACCTCCGACTGCTGGGGAGCACCGCCCGTCGCCCCATAGCTGTCCGCGCCAGAGCCCTGCTGGGCCAAGCAAGGGCGATGCATCAAAGGGTCGTCGATGTTCCGCACGGGATTGTTTCAAATTCATACGTACGTATCGCCCATGCCTTGAGGAGAGGGCAGGGCGGTGATATTGGGGTATTATCACCTGGGTCATGTCTAAAAATCATCCGGTGACCATAGAGTAGGTGCCAAAATGGAATGGTATGAGAGCGGAGAGGTTTGACTCAAGAAAAATGTGCGCCAATATCAAGCTACCGTCGAAGGTAGCAAGTTCGACGATTCGCCTCTGGGCGTGCCGACATCTGGCATGCACCGCATGGCACAAGGCCAACTGGAGGCTACCAAGTCCGACTTGTTCATGAGTGAAGAACATCAGGCGCTTGATTGATTGACACACCACACAATAGTCGCACCCACCTCCATCATATCCTTGACGATCGATCGGAGTTAGAAAGTACGATTGCGATTCGATAAGGCACCCTGCGCGTTCGAACGAAAAAAAGAAATCAATGGGCACAGCAGCAGCAACAAACAGCAGTTATTCACAAAACATTACAGAATGACCAAGGCTTGTCGCCCCTATTGTCCATCGCGTGATGCGAACTGCGGTTGTACGCATTGGTGCAAGTGTGACTGATGCAAGGAGAGATACCGACGGTTTCACCAACTCCAATGAAGGACCCCACAATAAGCAACTTGCGGGGCCTCCTCGCTCTTGCCGCCAACGCCATGTACATACCGGCATCGTGTAAAAACGGCCGGGTATTCTGAACAGCAACACAAGTGTATCGCCTCGCCTGCTCTTGACAACAGGAATGATCTGCACCCCCACGACGGTTTCTTACCGGTTGAACGAAAAACCGTCGATCGGCGCTGATCGGAACAATTATTCAAGCCCGCAGCAGCTTGTCGGAACTGCGAATTCGCGACCAACCCGTCCACCAAAAGTTGTACAATAACGTTATGGCTGGCCATCACGGATGACACACACTCTCTTCTTCATCAAAGCTGTAACCGGAGTATGGAAGAAATGCGACTAGCCTTGCGAAGTTCAAGAAATGCGTTAACCAGTAAAGCACCTATGTTCCTCTTCGTGGTGTAACCAGACGATATGTGATATGTACAATAAACACAACACAAGAAATCACAGATACAAGTTTTCAAAGAATTCTCACTCTCGTACAATACTCAGACCGGCACCTAATGACTATAATAATGAGGGAATCAAGAGTGTATCACCTACCTACGGCACACACATCTGCTGTTGTCGTCTCAACCCCCCCAGGGGATATGTGCGTGTGCGGCCGTATGAAAGGAAACGGGACCCACGCTGTGCTGTAAGGTGTGCTGCTTCGGCGGGGTCAGCGGTACTACAGCAGTACTTGCAGTACAGAAGCTGCTGTTCCTGCTTTTATGTGTATCGAACATCGCTGCTGTATCCGGTCTATACAATCATTTGATTGAGAACGCCCGCTGTTTCCCTTCGGCTCACAACAACCTTGTCCAGCGCCACCACCTCGTGTCTACACAAACAAATGCACGACCAAGTGTTGGTGTACGTGTGTGTCTGCGCCTTGTGTATGGGGTGTGGGCAAAGAACAGAAGAAGCTTTTCCCACTCGCTCTCTACTTGCAGGAGGACAACGTTGGTGCTGTTTGTGTTCCATGTATCTGAAGAAACAAGCGCTCGACGTAACGCGCGCCCCCCAAGGCAGCGAATCTGCCACAACCACAACACCACTGAGCAAATCGGTCACCCAATGCATTCACCTTGTCTCCAGTTGTCGAGCCAAGCGCAGTAGATGGTAGGATGCAACGAGCACAACCAACTTGATGAGCACAAATGAGCAACCGTGGGGGGGATCCTACTGGGAAGTGCAACATTAACCCGGGTACCCGATGAGCGTAATGTTTGCGTGCCCCCCTTTAGCATGTTGCATGTTGCAATGTTGGCATGTTGTGTCTCCGTGTCTCCGCCGCACCTCCAGCCACCCCTAGACATCACTGTCATGGGTAAGGGAAAGAAAAAAGCAGGTGGTGCAGCTTCGGGAGCCGGGGGCGTTGGAGACCAGAAAGCCGTGCGCGCCGCCGTAGAAACCATAGTGAACGATGCGGTGAAATTGCAGGTGAGGTGCGATCCGTTGTCATGATGTTTCCTTCAAACGTCATATCAAAAGCACGAACATCCATCCCTCTTTTTCAACAAATATTTTCTTACGTAGCTACGCGTTTTCGTCGCTAACCCGCCCCCCACATCGAGTTTGGCGCCCCACTGCCTGCATGTGCGACAGACCTTCGTGTTTGTTGGGGTATTTGTAAATGCACATTCCACGTAAAATACCACCCCCCCCTACGATATCCGTTTTTTAACGCTCTCTACACAACACAGCACAGCAGAAAGGAGAGCGCCGAGCGCCAACGCGCCAAAGAGAAAGCCAAACAAAAAATACGACGCTATCGTTACTTGGTCATGCAGTGTCGATACGTTCCAGGGACACAGCGTTCTGTATTGTCAACCACAGTGATGCGGATAAATCCAGTTTCGACAGCCATACGGCGAGGCGCGTGGTATCTTGTGTGGCATGCCTTACTCGTTGGTGTACTGCTGTAGACTGATGTTGCCGACCTCTGTGTGCCTCTGTTGTAACCGCGGCACCACTACGCCAAGGACTCAGCGAGCGACCTCCCAGCTCCTCAAGCTTTGGCTGCGCTCCAGGCCGCGGCTGCGAAATATCGCGAGGCGCTGGCGCGATTACCGCGGCACGCGGAGGCTGCCTACAACCTGGCGACCTGCCTATCGGAACAGGCAGACTCGGACTTGAATCCCGACATGAGGGAACAGGTGCTCCACTCTGCGTACGCGTTCACGTACATTCGACGTTGCTGGAGTGCGAGGTTGGTGTATGCATGTAATGGAAGAAGCAGCGGGGGGATAGTCGGGTCTTGCTTACCGTATATGACACCAGATACCACGCCCCTGGATCGATTTTCAATTGCTGGATTACTCCGAAGTAGCAACCAGCGGCGGTGTTGACAACGGTGGCTCTGAAACCATCTCGCCGAAATATTTCCGAGAAAGTGCCACATGACCTGTGCATGCTCTTCGTCGTGGAGAAATGGAGCTTTGAAAACCGGTCCTTGTGGTATATTGTGTGACAGTCAGTTTATCTTGACCTACGCGTACAATGCATACGAACCGAGGCAATCAACAGCCAACAGGCGCGTCTCTCGAACCCACGTGTCCGTCCAAATAAGCGCGCAGCGCGGCCACTCTCCAGCCATCCATGTATCACACACAAGCCAACCCCGGCGCGAACGTCCTGCAGTCGTGGATGACACTTTCCACTTCCAGCATCCCCAACCGCTACGTCTTTCCGATGAAGAGCTAAGGCGCAATATAGTGAAAGAAAGGGAAGGAAAGTTGCACGTCTTGTTTTTTTTCAAGTTTGCTCGCTTTCATTGAATTGTACATGGCCGGAAATGAGTTCGTTGTTGTTGTTGTTGTTGTTGTTGTTGCTGCTGCTACTGCTGCTGCTGCTGTTGTCTTGGCTTTGTCAACCGTTACGTAGGTTGAGTGATACCCCCCCGTGCCGACCAACTAATACAACAACAATACCATACCCGGTCCTGTTCTACGATGCCCGCCCTCCTTATTCTCGAACGTCTCCTATCAGATGGCCTTGCTGAGCGAGTCTCGATCCTTGCTGGAGTCTGTGATCGAAGCGGACACAAGCGGGAGGGGGGCCACCACGGCTCTGGCGCATCACGCTCTAGGTGAAGTCTCCCACCGAACAGTAGCTTGCCGTGCTGAAGAACGTCGCAAAATTTATCTTTGAAGTCATGCGGTGTCATGCGAAGCCACGTTCATGGCATCAATTTGTCTACGCCACATCACACGGCCCCCCTGCTGTATTATTTTCCCTTTTGGATTTGGATCATTTTACCCTATTGACTAGGAGCTTGGGCGAAATTGACCACGCATTGCTCATAACTCTTGTGTTTGACGTCACCAGGAAACGTCATTTGCGCCGTGGTGGAAGCGTTCGAGGACCAGCGCCCCACGGTTCAGTGCGCGGACGGCTCTGTCGAGTGTCCTTCTGCCGCGGCGCGCAAGGAACACTTGTCCCTGGCCTGTAGGTGACTATCTAACGCTGGACAGTGCGAAACGGAATTTTGTCGTAGTTCTTCCTGATGCACATTAGTCGTGTTGGCGGCTTGCTCAACTGCACTGTGGTTGAAGGTCACGAGTGTCCAATAGTCAGGTATTTCCCTGGAACGCGTGACTTTTCTTGAGGTGCGAAGTGCTTGCAGCGGACAGTCCCAGCCTTGTGCTTGATAAGTGGACAGGGCGCTTACGGAAAGAGCTACTCATAGTAGCGTTTGTTTTTGGGGGGGAGCGCATCCTGGGCGTTACTCGTTCTTCGACGTTGGCCCTAACCACTTCCGTAGACCCTCGGCCTGCGGAACATTTTGCCGCTTTTCCATTGATCTGCACCAGGATGCTAGCAATGAACCACACAGACAGACACACGTACGCGAATTTTGCGCTGTAGTTTTGAACCTGAGGTCTGGTGATCGGTCAGCTGGTTGACCCGTCCTACTAGGCCACTAGCGAAATATAAACAAATAGGGACGCAGCGAAGATAAGTTTGTTTTTCGTATCGTGGTTTATTCCTTTAAGGGAAGGTGGTGGTAGCCGCAGGTTCAGTCCAACGTACGGTCTCTCTGTAAGTGAAAAAAATCACTGCGCAGGGACTTGTCGACTTGTGTCAAGCCATCATTGCGATCGCCCAGGACGCCTTGTTTTCCATCTCGCGTTGCCTTTTTTACGGCTATAGCTGTACGCATGCCGCCGAATATTAGCTTATTTGCCCAACCTCTCGTCAGCCACTCTGGTGTATCTGCGAATGGTAAAAGCCGCCACCGTTTGTTCACCAGCGGCGCAGCCAATCATTTGAGGCTCCAATCACGAAGGCAGCATGCGCGCTCTCGGTCGACGGGCCATTTTGTTTTCGTTCCCACGTGCTAAGTTGGACTCTGACTCGTTTCGAATGCCCGAAGGGCGGCTACGTGGAACCACAGGGGCAGTGGGGGACCCTAACAGCACCGGTAGATGCTCCCAACCGTTGAATCGACCTCGAGGGACCGGCGCTATTCACTCAAAAAGAGTGACTTGGTGATGTGTGTTATCTGTGCCCAGCATTTCCACCGACATTGTACAAGGGGCAGCGGCCCAAATAGACCCCACGGTTGTTGAGACCCTCCCCCTCCCCCTCATGTAACGTATCGAAACTGGCCGCTCATTGTTGGCGCTTTGTTTATGCTACAACACTGTACCGCGTGCTTCGGTACTGTCACCATCATCGTCGTTTCCCGTCGTTCGTGGGTCTCCCGGTCGCAACCTGTGGTGCCCTTTACCTTTGCACTTGATTTTTTTTTCCTTGTCGGTTGGTTTTCCAGGCACTTCGAGGCGTCGGTGTCGATCACGAAACGGCTGCAGAACCAATCGGGGGAAGCGGAGGAAGTCCTCATACACTGGGGAGACGCGTTGTCAAGGTCAGCAGCCGCGGTGGTTTCTCAGTATAGTAATCGTGGTCCCTGTTTACGGGTGCATTGTGTCTCAAAATGTTACAGATGCCACTTTCTCGAGGACATGGACGCTATAATAAAGCGGATCGGTAGTTCTGTGATAGGTTGAGGGCCGGGGTGCAGCCGTGTCCCGAGGTTTTGGAACCGCTATTGGGGGCATATGCCGCTATGCAGTGACCTGCTAACCTGGGACCGCTAGCCTGGCGGTAGTGTGGTGGTGTTGTTGTTCGTGGTGTTGCTTGGTACTGTCGTTGCTCGGTTTGGCGTCATCAGGCTGGTTGGACGACCCAAGGCACCCGCACCAGCTACGATACACCACGATTTTCAAAGTGGGCGGACGAAGGGTGCATGTCGATCCCGTCGAGTTAACCGATCTTCGACATTGTGGAGGGCGAACAACGTACGGCGTTTCCGCCTCTACCGCGACCGCTGGCCGTTTCACCAACGTCGCTTTACTTACGCTTTGGATTCCACTCTCAATTCATTTGTCACATTCGATCCCACTTTGAATTTCATTCTCCACTCCACTTTCGACTTGCGTTTCACTCCCCATTTTCATTCCACGTTGGATTTGCCTTCCACTTCATTCAGTCGCCGCCCGCTAGTTCCGTTCGTCTATTTCACATTTCACTCTCGGTTTCACTTTTGATTTCACTGTGTGGTCGTCTCCGATTTTGTTGTCGATTCCGCTTTCGATTCCACTTTTCGGTTTTACTCTCACTTCATTTCCCACATTCGATGTCGACTGCACTTTCCACTTGTTGTTGGGTTTTTATTCCACCTTCGATTTCGCTCTCAATTTCACTATGTATTTCATTCATGCTTTCACTCTTTGATTTCACTAATGGTGTCATACGTTTTTTCGTTTCCTTTGGACTTTCGTCTTCAACTGAAAGCCTGGATGAAACCACGCTCGTTGTCATGCAGGCCGTGAACTCTTTGTTGGTACAGTACACGTATTCCGCCATTGGTCGCGTGGCTAGATTGTAATGTATGGAGAACGTGGCCGAATGAAGTGTTTCCGCCCTGTTGTTTTTGTCTCTTGATTGTTTTCCCTTTTTTAGCACGCTTTTCACGAAAACTCTTTTTTCTCTCTCGGGCGGCATGATGCAAGTGGTTCCGAAACCATGATGCAGGTGGTCCCGAAACCCTTTCGCCCATTCGGTACCCTATTGCTCATCACGCGTGCACTCTTCGCTTTGATGCCCTGAATGCCCCTGTGTTGTCGGGCAGCATGATGCAGATTGTCATGGACGACGGTGCAACAGCGGAGAGAAGCTCGAGCGAACACCCACCGCCACCACCGCCCTCATCACTTGTACAGGAAGTGTTGGGGCTTTGCTCCAACGCCTGCAGCAAGGTGTGCTTTTCTCGGCCCTATCGTTGTGCCTATCGTACATCCTACGGATCCTATCGTGAATCCTATCGTAGATCTAGCGTAGATCCTATCGTAGATCCAATCACAGATCCCTATCGTGTCATAGAGTTCATAGACCCTCCCGTAGATCCAATGTTGAATGCGCTTTCTTTCCACGCGGTTGGTCGCCGCTCCCGCATATCACCGCGCTACCGTTCGCGTCTGGTCCAGGTGTCTGGTTGTAGAAGCAACGACATTGCGGCAGGCTGTCGACACCACAAGTATGATCGCTTTCTTCCGTGCTTTGGTGTCGACACGTACCTGTTTGAACTGTAGCGGTGTTCAACGATTTATGAGCGCTTCTTGCGCACGCACACACAATCTCGGTGACGCCTTGCCTCGTAACCTGGAATCGCCGAAACAGCTATCAACCACGACATTTGCGTGACAGACAGCATGCCAGAAGATCCAACGAAGAAGACTAGTTTGTGGCGACATGATCTGCAAGAGTATCTGTCCGGTGATACAAGAGTTACAGATCATCGTGCGGGCACTGGTACAGGGAATTTGAATTCGACTACGACTCGGCCTTCCGCTCGTGCCCGGTCGCCGGGCTGTGCATTGTTCCATCGTTTGTTTTTTTTTTTCCTTCTAGTGATACGCGTGTACGTGCTATTAGTGTGTGCCCACACGTGGCGTCCACGATTCATTTCCTCGTACTTACCATGTACTGTATTTTGATCATCGCGGTCAATTACTGTTGGCGAAAATAACCCTTCGTCTGACCTGGGAGGTCGACCATGTCTTCTCTACCCTGAACTAGACTGACTCAGATCCGGCGGGGGTCACGCAGGATGGATCGGTTTTTGCCGTCCCCTCTATTGGCGACCCCCTCATTTCCTCGGAAGCTCTGTTGCAGTGTCCTTTCTGTGACGGTTCCATGGTATTGCCCCGCTGGTACTTCACACACAGTACTCCGAGGCGTTAGCGTCGGAAACGAGCAGCGGAGGTTCGGATACGGACATTCTCCGGCTTAAGGCGGGAACGGTGGTGAACTTCTTAGACTGGGCTCTCCCGGAAGCTCTTCCCCCCGAGGCGCCGATCGGTGGGTCAGGTAAATGTCGACGAGACTCTCGTGATTGTCTGTCTGTCGAGCATTTGCTTGTGTGGTAGATGTCTGTCTGTCGGCCGTTTTCTTGTGGGATAAACTGGTTTTCGGAAAGGCTGTATGTTCGTTCGATAGGAATGTCTGTTGGCTGGATGGGTTTTTGGTGTTTGATATTCGACAGGATTCTTTGGGTAGTGGAAAACGATCAGGACCGGACTCCGGCGAGGCTCTCCTTCAGGCCTCAGCTTTTTTTTTGTCGTATCTCTCACCTATTCACTTACTGGAATGTCTGTTGGGGCGACACACATGGTATCACATGGTTTCGGACTGTTGGCTGCTTGTTATCCTGGCCGTGGCCTGTGAATCAGCCCATGGGATGCATGATTGTCCTGGTCATGGCCTGTGAGTCAGCCCATGGGGTGCATTTTTTTTTGGTAAAACTCGAAGCTGCCCTAGCGGAACTCGAACCTGCCGGGTTTTTTTTTTTTGTTTGCCTGTTGCAGTTTTCGGTCCCTTTGCCGTGGTGGTACCTTACCCTATGTGCCAACTGTTTGACCCTACATGTCAGCTATTTGCGGTTGTGCTCGATGCTGACTGTGTACTTGTTCCCGTTGTTGGTGCAGTTCTGGGGTGTTGGTGTGTGCTTTCTGCTCCAGAGTATAGTTCGGGTCAGAGGTTCGGTCTGACCTGATGGCGTCTGTGGGTCTTTGGTCTGCCTTGTAGGAATGATCATGTCATCCGCCGAAGCGGGAGAGGATAGTCCCCCGCGGTAAGAAGCCCATTCGTGTGACACAAGATGTGCCTTGCTCATGGAAAGGAGACGAGAGTCTGGTGGACAATGATAAAAAGTGATTGCCTAACCTTCGCGCTCCTCATGATGCTGCTTGAGACAGACGTGGGTTTTCCGGCGGAGGAAATCCTCGCTGCGGGAGAGGAAGCAGTGCAAGCACTCCTGGCCCTGGATGACAGCAGCATGGACGGCATGTTAGCGAAGGCAGATCTATGCAGGTACCAGAACAACGCGAGAAACCGTGCCGCGTGTGAAGGGCGGCTTGTTCCGATTGCCTCAGCTAAAAGGCTGGTGTCGGGGTTCCATTCTGACCTCTACATTTCGATATTTGCAAACATCGCAGGTGGGGTTTACCTCGCACTTGTTTTTCTTTTTCAACGAAGGGAGCAGAATTGCTCCCACATGGCTTGCCATGGCTCGCTTCGGTATGTCAAAGGTTAAGCTTTGACCCGAGGAGGTATTTCCTGGCTGTGATACCGATCGAATAGCGTGTGCATATGTAGGGTTTCGACTTTTTTACTCTTCGCAGTCGTTTTTCTCCGCTGGGACAGCAGTTTTTCTCGCACTTTCTTCTGCATCGCACGCAGAGGACCCATCGGTACATCACCCGTGACGTGTGGGGTTCGCGAGACACCGGTGGTGCGCGTTAGGGCCGCCTAAAGTCCCTGGGACTGGCTCTTTTTTCAGGGGTTGGGAATCCGAACCATGAAAGCCTCCTCGAACGGCACAAAAACTGAAAATAGAACTTTTTTTTACCCCGCCCCACGCGCCACGCGCCCACGCGCCCACACACCTCCTGCTGTGATTGTTGTGCACACAGCCACCACACGGCAACTGGCGCATGCATACCCACAGCGGGGGTCAAGGCTCTTGATGCTCATTGGAACACACCACGCGACACAGAAGTCCTCTCGCACAATCCTGGCAGCGGTAAATTTGTACAAATAAGAAGTTTGGTACGGTACCAGTCTACATCTATCTATCTGTGACTGTTTTGGGCACGTTGAGCGTCTCTTTGATCCGTTGTTGTTATGTATGCGTGAAAAAGTTCCACAGACCATGGGAAACACGATCGATCACACAAGAAGAGAAAGTGATGAAACGCAGCGGATTACAGCAGTAGTAGGACCTGCAGCAAACCGCTATAATAGCCAAAACCACTCACTCGCTCGCAAGGGAAAGTCACGGCGGGAGAAAACAAAGTACCCCGCACATACAAGCACATATGCGTGATGCAATTTCCACGCAAACTATTAGTATGCAGGTTGCACGCAAGCCGGCACTACCGAACGTTATGACGACCAACAATGCGACCGCGATGGCATTGATTGGCCATGTCCTCTTGCGTCGCCCCCGGGACGCAAATCACCTACCTCCCGCAGGAGAACCTTGTAATACAGTATTATGTTGCAAAGGCTGTCGTACCCTCGTCAACAGGAGAGCATGTTGGTGGGGGCAGTTCACTATCTTGTTTTTGCTGGGAGTGAGTTGAGGCGATCCTTGTTGCCTGCTGCTGTTCGCCCAAAAAAAACGCCGCCGGCGAAAACGAGATTGCGAGCGAGGACATCGATGTTGTCGGGAGCCAGCGTGGAAGAAGAAGGAGCTCGGAGGGAAGAGTCAGTGGCGTGGTTCGCGAGGGCCGCGACAGGGTTTCCTCAGGATGCAGGCGTGCTGACGGCCGCAGGGGAAGGGTTGTTGGAGTACGGCAGGTAGGACAGCGATGAGGTGAAGTTGAACATATATTTCGACGACGGAGGACTCGGAGGGGCGGGGAGACCACTTTGGAGGATTCCCCATGCGTGGATTGTCGTCGTTTTAACCCCCACCAACAGCTAGATATGAGCAACGAGATAGTGTATTTATGTGCCTCCCTCTATTATGTCGTCCGCCGCGCTCAGCGACCAATGAAAATGCATCATGCGTGTGTGCTTCAGTCTACATCTTTCAGATCTTGGATGACGCACCAGCTTGGGTTCACAGAGGAAACACCGCAATTCTGTTTTTCTCCGCCTCTCCACGGTTTCTGCCGTGGTGCTTGACCCTGGCGACGGCGCAACATCCGCAATTACCTGATGCTGCGTCGCCCGCCCCTGGCCTACATTGTTTATTCGTTCTGTGCGATGACCTGAAACCGTGTACCACCTCTCTGTCGAAGCAAGGCGGTCGATGGCGCTGTATCAGGAGGTGGCCGTGGGCTCGGTAGGGCAGAGTCCGTACGGATACGGTTCGGCCCCCGGGCCTGCCGCACCGCATGTCGAGGGAATGCGAATGTCTGCGATCACACGGCTGCAGGTGGGCTCCCACTGGTGCTACTAACAGAGTGGTGCTTGTTGAGGACAACCTGATGAAACTTTTTTTGGGCAGTCTTTTGGTGTTGTCCTTGTTCGCTTCATTGCCAGGCATTGATATTGATGGTAAGGTGCTGTAGTGCTGCTGGTCCTGTACTACGACGAGACACCAGGCAGAGGGTACGCAGGTACTTTCAAGTGTGGAAACACACCGGATGGATAAGGTACAGAACCGGCTACGTTGCTGGTGTCTCAAGTACACAAAATTTATTGCGTGGGCAGTTCCTAAATCGATGTCGGAATCGTTTCTCTCCTTGGAACCACGTTCGCCAGGAAGCGGGAAGACTCCTGGCCGAGGCGTGTTCTTTCGACGTCTCGGATGCCAACTCTCCGTACAACGCGGCCTGCGCGTTCGCCCTCGCCGGGGACCCTGGTTCTTGCTTTCGCGCCTTGAGCGAGTACTGCCGACGGCTCACGCTAGCTGCGAACGGCTCGTCTGGCAAGAGAGAAGCGGCAAGACGGTCGCTGCGGGAGGCCGGCAACGACGTAGATTTGGAAGAGGTTCGCGGGGCCCCGTGGTTTGTCGACTTGTTGAGGGGTACGGATGCTACCCTCGTTGGATCGGGCTGATGGGACCGCTGGCCGTGGTTTGGGGTGTAGATATTGGGCCTTGTACATTGTGGAATGGGTCAGCACGGCGCGGTAGAAGTTGCAACAAGAAGAGGGAGACAATCCCTCGCTTGGCGTCAGGCGAAGCGTTTTGTTGTGTCAACGTTTGGCGTGGCACAGTAGGCATGCCTTAGCTGCTCTAGATATTTTTTATCGGATTGGGTCGGGGACGCCTGCGTACATCTCGCCCCTATTATTTGTTCGTGCCCGATTGAGTCTGCTTTGCTCGGGGATTAGTGGCTGTATTTTTGCATTGTTGTCGACACAAGATTGCTTCATTTCAGTGTGACTCACAGTCGAACACCCGAACCGGATGGTAGGGGTGACGGTGTTTACGCGCTGTTCAAGAGAGTGTACGGTTGAACGAACTGGAAGAAGCGTTTCCTCTTTGCTGTAGGCTGTTTGGCTATTGGGAAGGCTACACAGCGTTCTCACGAACAATGGTATCATGGTATGTTCAGTATTGCCCTGTTGTTACGGGAATTGAATGTAGGACGTATGAACGGTAGTGCGGGATAATTCCCTGAGAGAAGTGCTGGAGATGTAACTCCCGATTGAAGGATAAAGCGGACAGGGCGTTTGCAGCTAGCTCCTTTTAGAGGGGGCATGTCTTAACCCTTGGTGCTCAGCGACCTTCGAGAACAAGGCAGCATTGCTGTTCCGATTCCAAGAGATAAAATATACAAGTGAATTATTTCACAGCGAATCGCCACGCGTGTAATCCCGTCACACTACTGTGGTGCAAAATCATGAGGCTAAAGGCGACTGGCGTGATTATACCATGATTCCGACGAAATTAAGATTCCTGTTATCGGAAACCTCTTAACCGGTTGTTCTACATACGTAGTCTTTCAATCGAAAAAATCGACAGTTGTTTGTGTTCGCTCGTGGTTGGTTAGAGCTGTTCGGTCCAGCAGTATTTGAGTTGACAAACCGGCTCGACAAGCACCACCAGATACCTGACATACTTTTGTCCACCCTTCCGATCTATTCGCCCCCAGCCTCCAGGCCCTAATGTAATTGTACGGACACCAAAGGTGAATTCCTCCATACACTAATTCATTGGGCATGTTGTTCATGTTTTTTTCAAGCAGCGGACAGCGCTCGCCAGAGCTTGCTTGATGGGCTGCGATGGGCGCCCAAAGCAGCTCTCTCTGTGCTTTCTACTCCTCCCGTCAATTGTCGTGGCGCACAGTTTCTGGCCGCCCGACGGCTTTCCCCCTGTACAACAACAGTTCGTATTCGTCCAGATCTCAGACGAGGTCGCACGGGAAGAAAGAAGTTCCTGCGGTTGATGTTGATTCTTCAGCACCATCGAATACATGTACAATAGATATATCTTGACTATACTTCACCAAAACAAGAATTCCCCGCACGACGTATCTATCCACACCACACGCAGGGCGACAGACGTTTGAACACGCATGCGTACATCTGAATGAAACTTCGTGCCCAGATGCCGGATTGCGCGCGCCGCGGGACTGTGAATTTTTCGTAGCGGTGGTGGCGGTTCAAGCGAACCGAACTTTACAGTTTCAGTTCCACCGTCGGTTTATTTGAACTGACAGCCACGAGTGAGCAGTGGATGCGAGCTTGCTTGATTGCCCATTGCCAAGTTGGTGGGGTGATTGGCCGTTGCGGTACATCAACATGGTTAGGAACAACCGGAGGCTCGCGAATCTCAACAAGACGAAGAAGGTCGAGTACAGGTGACTGACGGTCCTACTCTCTCCCCATTTCATTCCAGTACATGGTCGGTGCACAGCTTGATTGACTAATTCTAGGCCGCAACCATGACAAACTTGATGGTGCTGCTCATGGAATGCTCCGTATAAGTTGGTTGGGTGCGTCCCCTCGTTCTTTTGCCATGCTCGGTCGTCAGGGTGTTCTGCTGGTGCTTCGACACATGCAGCATGCACCAGCGCTCATCTGGCAGCTGTATTTAGCCGACTGCTGTATGCATAAATCGTCTAGAGGAGTCTACTCTTCTATGCATACCGACAATTTCGTGACTCCAACTGGGTTTTGGTAAACTTATCGATTACATTCCCATGTGGAAGTAGGTCACACTTGCGGAGCCAGCTACAGTAGGCATCTCCTCGTCCAGCGGCATGTGCGACACTGCAGTAGACGCTGCTTGTGAAATAGCACAGCAGGCGTGCCCCCTTGCGCAGTTCGTAGACTGCAACGAAATGAATGTTAAAGAGCGCACGCTTCGGACGGTTCGGATGCATTGACACTACGCTACAGTCTGTCACCCACCACCGATGTTATGCCTCGCCCCACGAACAAGACATATCCTGCAAGATTGGGACGTGTGGCTTTCTAAGGAGGACAACAAGGGGAATGATGTCAACCTACACATCGAAAACATCTTCTTGGATGAGCTGCAAGAAGACGGATTGCTGGTGTACGAGAGAATCAAGGTGTGCGCCTTGCGTCGTTGCCGTGTGCAACAACACACTAGTCGTACGTACGTGTAGCCGCAAAGAGAAACGTGTATACTACGCGGAAATTGACAACGTTTCGGGACATGTCTAAGGCTAGTGTATGCCAGCACGGACGAACTGCGACAAAACGACGTACCGGAGCTACTGTAGGTTTTGAGTCCCCAAGGCTCAATACCCCTCCATATCTAGTAAGCCGCACCGTCAATCCTACCGAATCCGCAACACCTGACGGTGTTGTTGTATTCGGACATTCACTAACGATCGACACTGTCGGCCAAGGACCTTTCTTGATGAAGACGGAACAATTTCTACCAACGGTACAAGGATTGTAACAAAAACACGGGGCCGTGAAAACGATCGATTACGCCAGCATTATTTCACAATTCATGTCGCAAGGTCGTTGAACCTTGGGTGCATGTAATCTGCTCTTGGAGGTGGCCGTTGTATAGTATGCTGAGCTCGTCCCCTTGTTCTTCTGGATTCCGGTCGCCGCAACACTCTCAGAGCAAGTTCAAGAACCCATTGGTAGAAGCAGAGAACTTCTACCTCCAGTACAAGCTCTCTTCCGAGCAGTACCCCATCAACATCGAGCTCTCGCAACGGGCGCAAACCTTGGCAGCATTCAAGAAGTTTGCGGCACTGAAACAGGCAATGTACATGTGTAGTCCACTTGCAGGGTGGTGCACCATTGGATAGAATGAACGCATGGGGGGGGGTATGAAAGGAGAGGCATCACCTCTGGGTGGTGTGGCACCCTACGAGCAATGTTAGCTACAACAGCACTTCCGCTGAAACTCCTCTCCTTGTGGTTCTTCATGGACTCAAATGGGCAAGGTTTCGGTCCGCTACCTATGTCGATGAAGGCCCGATGGATGTCGGGATCGAGGAGTTAATTTGTTGCGTGCGCCAGGAATACCCCTCTTCCAATGTTTCGATTGCTGTGGGGGTCCCCGAATAAACCGGTCAGAAAAGGATGGTCGCCCGACGCTGATCGGGTGAAATTGGCTGGAATAGGCGGAATAATGACGTTGTCCTACACATTGAATGCGGCGGCTGCCCCATAAAAGGCGGTCATTGTCAGCTGCCCCACCGCCGCCTTTTTCGGGGATCCGCACTGTTAAATCGACCGCAGGAAGAATATAGTCAGTTCGGACCTGTCTTCGTCCTCTACTGCCGGGGTCCTGTGTGGACGACAGCGCCGCCCAATCCTGGGATAACCGTTACTGCTCTGAAAGGAAGGTCGGCCATCACGAGATACCTAACGAACAAGTACACCGCAGGGAAGGTCAGGTACACCAATAACCGTTCGTCACAAGAACTTGTTGTGTAGAACGCATCCCTTGAGGCTTCGGTAAATGGGTAGAAGTGGGGGTGTTTAGGCGGGGGTAAACGTACTGGTTGACAAACTAGGTGCTTCGACAGGTCCTTCTCGTATCATGTACGGTGGACGCTATACATTCCCTTGGCCGCCGTCTAATCATTTTTCTCTGGCTGTGAGGAACGAAGTGGAACAACATTTACAGTATATTGAACTGATCCGCCCCCCAAGAGAGAAGGAAATTATACGGAAAGGATTTCTTTACCATTGCCGAGGAGGTAAGGCCAATAATGAAGACGTTGCTCATGGCCACCGAGGGGTCTCCCTTGCTGAATAACTGTCGACAAAATGGATTTATGCCCTTCCACGGCGAGTTCCGTACGGAACGATTTGAAGCCGGTCCCTGTTCGACGCCACGAGTGGTTCCTGTCCTATGTACATTGTCCTGCCCCAGCTGACGACGGTGATCCGGCCCTGTTTCTCGCCAATCCGGAACAAAGTTGTCATTAGGAATCCTGGATGAGATGATGACTCTCGCAAGTGGAGCACTGAAACGAGCCGTCTACGGCATCATGCCCAACGAGGAGCGGCAACATCACGGGTGAGCCCAGGAATGTCATTCCGAAAACGAGCCAGAGTGTTTGCAAAGGGTTTTGGATCTCTCCGAAAGGAACATGGATTGGCCGGAAGGTCCCGAAGTTGGAGCTACGCACGCATGCGCGTACGTCGTGTACGTGTTACTCCTGTTCCGACTGGGGTAGGTGGCGTGATTAAAGCATAGGAAAAGTACTTTATAGTAGGGAGGTATTCAAAGCAACTTGTTCCGAGGAGCTAGAGGTATATATCCCGACCTACACAGCAAGGTAGAGGCTCAGACACGCTGGATTCCTGCCAGTCGTCGGAAGCGCGATGCCTTACGCATTCCGTGAGCCAGAAACGACTCGTGATTCTTGGTTCACTATTGCCAGGTACCTACTTGAGAAGCACGCTTCGCAAGAACCTACCCCAGAAGAGCTCTACCTGGCCGGCACCATCTCCCTGCAAGCCTATGAGGAGACGCGCTTCCCCGGTAAGGCGACGGATAAATCTTGCCATGCGCCTGTTCATAACTCCTGCGATTGATGCCGTACGTCAGCGTAAGCACGTAACAGGACTTCTGGTTTGAACCCGCTTCAATGCCGTACCATTATTGATAGCTCGCACGTGTTGAACCAACTGCCGGGTTGGTAAGGTCGCAGGATCACCTTCTTTTTCTTGGCGCACGCTGCCTGTCGCCGTCGTCATATTGAAGTATTTTTCGTCGCCATACGAAACGACCCCGACAATAGTATCGACATATGCTTTTGTGATCAATGCTCTGTCTCGATCACTCTAGGCTATTGGATGATGGAGCCTACGGACAGCATGAGGAAGTTTTCCCAAAACAGGTCTGAAATTCGTGCGATGTCCTTGGTAGACGTGTGTGGCTCTTAAATCCCTGCTGATGAAAACATAACAAATCCCCGCAGAGGTGAAGCAAGCGAAAGAGAAGAGAGACGCACACTACCCCACGCCGGAAGACCCCCAACAGTGCGTAGTGTGCGGACATCTCACGGCCACCATTGGGTGCATGGAATGCTCCAATAAAGTGTGCAAGGTCTGCATAACCCGCGAGTGCCTGGAGAAGCAGGAGTCGTTCCTTTACTTCCACCACCAACACTGTCTCAGGTGGGGAGGAAACGACAGTTCGGAAAGGGGGGGTCGTGAGTGTTGCAGGGGTATACGGTCAAAGTGTCGCGAGAGGAGAGACCGTTAATAGCTCACCAATACTTTTTGGCGTCGTTGCAAAACAGGCACAGACGGTGCGAGGTGTAAGACTGTCACAAAGACGCGGCCAATCATCGCTGAATAGCGCATGCTATTCGGAGAGTCAAACGCACGGTAGAGTACACGCGTTGAACAAATGATCAGATCGGCGTCAGCATGCATGCTCACAATATGTACTTATAGGAGTATCACCCTCCCACTGTAGATTCATGATAATACGGGGCAACCCGGATGCCTATGTGGTAGATTGCAGCCGAAAGCAGAGGGTGAGGGACTCACGACCATTTCCCCTTTCGAAGGCGTCGCACGTAGTTCTTTCGAAGACTAGACAGCAATCATGCGTTAATTCTATGACCCCCATTACGCCAGCCCCCTATGCAACACTCGGAAAAGGTACAAGATCACGCCGACGTGGGTCATATGCTCGCCCGTGTCTCCGAGTGAAAGAGAAGGATGCCCACAGCTCAGTCATGTCATACTGCCGCTTGATTGGCACCCATTCGACACTACATATTTTCAGGTTTGGCCGGCCGCACCGCCAGCCGCTGCCAGAGATGGAGAACGTTCGACGGAACGGTACACCGGGAATTGCCACAAAAGGGGCGCGCGCAGGGCCTCACGGGAGGGCAGAGGGAGACAGAAATTCTCGAAGAAAGAAACGATTCAGACCTCCTGCAGGGACTAGGCCTTGGCGCCCGGAAGCCACGTAGTAATCAGAGTGACCGGAATACAAGTCCATAGGGCCGGTGGATATGCTGCCTTGAGTTGCGCGCATAGGCCGCGCGAGTACACCAACCAACGAAGATACGTCAAACCATGCGCTTGCAGCGAGACAAATGAAGGAATCCTACTTTCGTTTATAGTCTGGGGTCCTCGTGGACAGGAGGACCGCAGGGGAGATCTGACCAATCTTTGTGTGTGTGTTGTCACCTCGTCCAACTCTGGACTCCAGTTTTCCACCCTCTAGGCGTATTCGAACGAATCACCGGGATCACGCAGGAGGAAGACCACCAGAATTTGTCGCCCCTTGTTATCGCGTTTGTCGCGAGAACGATCGGGACGTCACAGTTTTGTCACACAATCCATTCCTATGGGTGTGTGTGCAGTTGCGCTTGAGGTTACAAGTAACGCCCAAGACACCATCAGGTTGTAGTTTAACAAACCGAACTGCGGCTACGGTTTTTTATGAAGAATAGAAGAAGCGGAAAATCAGCTGTACGTGAACTTGTGCCATGAGAAACACAGCTCAATTTGGTCGCAACATCAGAAGCGTTCCGACAAACTAAACACCAGCGATCGCTCATACTACGCAACAAAATCACCACTACTGTGGTACCCCCCACTCCTAGCTAGTCTGCCGTCGGAGACGTATAGCAATAGTGAAAGCCGCGGGCGTTGGGCCTTCGTGCTAGAGATGAACCACGACGAGGGAGTTCGGGAGTCAGGAAGTTCAGGAGGGCCGCACAAAGCCTTGGGGTTGATCCGCATGCGGTATGCTTGTGTGTCTGTTGCATTCTTAGCAAGCAATGAGAAAATCTGGTGTGCGTTTGGATTCGACGATACGAAAAGGCAAGAAATGGGCAAAAAATCGGCCGATCGTTCGACCCAGAAAACGGAATGCAGCCTCGACCTGAAGTCTGACGCGGCGGGCCCGTGTGCCGGCCTCCGTGTCGAGTTTTCGAGGGCAGACGACATTTATTTCATATCCCGGCATTGAGCGTGAAGCCGCCTGTGAAGGCGCACAAGATGTACTGTAGAGTTACTCTCTTTGGGACATTTGCATACATGTAGACTTAGTCTTGGTAGTCTACGTACGTATTCTGTGACCGTCACATTCATGTGCGCGATGTCTGTGTATGAATGTAGGGCAAAGAGTTTCCGCGCATAATAAAGTGTTCTCCAGCTAGTAACACTTTGGCAAAAACTTACGTCCACAGGCTCCACAGCAGTACGCAATGCAGTTGAGCAGGTTTTCTACATATGTATGCTGTACATACGCAAATAATGGTGGTGTAGACTACATGGAGCATGCCACTCCTCCTATTTTCATGTCTTCATAATAAATACAGTACCATCACTGTACGTTCTTTCACATATTGCGCCTCGGTGGCCGGCCGCGCCAAGAGCGGGGTTTTGGTTTCTACTGCAAGGCTCTTCTTTCATATTTCTGTCATGTGGGTGCATAGTCTACTTCCTGCGTGGTACGAAGGGAGGGTTCAACTCTATTTTGCAGAGATAAGAGAGAGGTAGAGAGACATCACCAGCGAAAGCATGTACTGGTACGATTGTACGATGGACCGGGAGACCGGAACCGGAAGCGGGAGCGGGGGGCACAACATCTGGGTATTTTTCACTACCCACCTGTGGTTCCCTGTTTGCGACCCCCCGCCTCATGAACTTGACTCTGCAGTGGACACTTCATAGCTCTCTCCTTCCAAAGACCGACAATGTCCATGGGACTGCGGAGGTCTTTCCTGGTCTTGGCAATGGCATGGACATTATCTTTGGCGAGGCTTACGAATGCCACCATCGCGTGAGTGGAAGAGCGCCTGTCACTGCTACTCTGACTGTACACCTGTTGTCTGTGTTTTCTTGTCTCGTGGGATGTTGTTGTAGTAGCATACCTACATATGCATACAGAGGCAAAACTATGCGTACAAGTACAGTATGGAGCTATTTTGCCCCCGGACAAATCACAAGTGTAGCTACAGTATGCACATGTATTTTGGCCATGACTCAAGTGTTGTGCACGAACACGGAAAAAACGACGAAAAGGGGGCGCTGTTATATGTGGTACACAGATAGATTTACACATGTACTCCTGTTTCCCTAGTGTTTTGCATTTTGAACCTCTACTCTAGTCTACTGATATCACCTGCCAGGTCCACGCGTTGTTAGTGGCACACCTCTCCGCTGCTGCTGCTGCTGCTGCTGCTGCCGTGCAGGCGAGAACGTGCGGATGACTTGTGTGTGTAGGTTGTGCCAACTGCTGTAGAATAGAGTCACGACGGTGTTCGCTGAGGTCACGGCATGAATCGCGTCCGTCCTAGGAAACCAGATGGTTCCCACGTTTTCCCGCAATGGTTCGGGAGGCACTAAGGACACACAGGATTCAAGAGTTGTATCCCAGAGAGCACGAGTTAAAACTTCCGGACACGTTCCTGATTGTCGAGACAGCTCCGGTTATTTTCGGAATAGAACAAACAGCATCGAGGAGACACCCGTCCTCTTCTCATATGGCAGGAAGGAGTACCAGCCTTAGATAATTACATACCAAGTGGTTTGGTCCTTGGGAAAGGAAAAGGTAAGGGTCGCTTGACGCTCTTGCTCCACGGTTGTGGGAAAAGGGGAAAGTTGCTTGTTTTGACTGAAAGAAGGTTTGAGCTGAAGGTACAGATCCAACTTTCAGCTTTGGGGGCACGCAGAGCAGACAATTCTGATTGTATGATGGGGTATGCCTCCTGGCATCCCACATCCTATGCTATTTATTTCGTGCTAGCAGCATCATTCCTTAACAGTAGGCGAAGTCGCCGCGGTACAAGTGCTTCTTCTTGCCGGCCCCGATCATGTCGTGCAATTCCACGACTTGTCGCATGCACTTGACGCACGGGTCCTTGCAGTCGTCGGGACAGCTCTTGCAGATGCACCGGGCTCTGCCACCCTTGACGCCGTGCGCTCTTATGGGATTGCCGTTCCGGGTCTCGGCTCCGAGAGGGTCGAACAGACGGCCGTAGTGCTGGACCCGGAACCCGTTTATCGTCCGGCGGCAGAAGCACGGGAAAAGCTTTGTTGATTACGTCCGGCCCGTGGGCGCACCCAGCTGAGGGAAACATGCAGCACGCAGTTGTGGCAAACGAACCGCACAATTTGATATCGTTGTTATTGCGTGAGATGCGGCGCTAAATGTATACCGGATCGAAACGGACCAAGCTTGGCGATGGCCCTTGGTTTACCGCGTTTTTTCTTCCGACTCGTGAACATCAAATCGTGAGAGTTGCGTCGAAGGCCGAGACCGGCGTTTTGAGACTCGATCAGTCAAGGAGGACGGTGTTCGAATGCGAAACACAAGTGTGTCCTTCCGGTAAAGAGACTGGAGCTTAGACTTAGGCCCCACGAGAATGGCGTCGCGCCGTGTTCAGTCTATCGCCTTGCCGATTTGGTTGCTCTTCCTACAGAAGTTCACATGAATGCAGGAGTCGGACAGCGACATGCTGCTCACTGCGCTGCACTGCACCGCATATGATAGGATGATTACATGTGCGTCCGCTCTCCTCGCCACAACACGTTGGCGTAGCAATAACATCGTGCAGGCACACCTCCTCTGAATCCGTTGACGTGCTGTTTCCTGGCCAGATGGACACTGAAACCCCGCCAGCTGTTGGATTACGGTAACATGCTCGGAGCTCTGCAGCAAGCGAGCCGGCCACCACTTGCAAAACCGTCATCATCGCCGTCAATGAACCGGTCACCATCGCGCAGTTCAACGAGTTTGCATGGCACGGCAGCAGACGTTTTCGACAGAATGGGCTGGAGCGGCAGCAAAGGGAGATCAACTCTCTTCGTGGGCAGGATGTCATTCACCTCTCTAGGCACAAGGGAGCGTCGTGGCGTTAGAAGCATTGCGGAGCGCATCGTGGTAGTGCGAAGAAGTGTTGATCGACAGGTGTGGATCGTAGATGCTCTGCTGTTATCTTTTGTTCGTCATCTCAACAACAGGCTCTCTCTCTCATCTAGGCTAGTGCTGCCCCTGTGATTGCATAATACGCGGCTCGTGCCATCATGCCACGTCCAGGGCAACCCAAACCATGCAGCCAGTTAGTTCCATCTACCCCTCGTTGGCACAAAAAGCTATCACCATGCTTGCAGGCGTTCGTTCTTTCCAACTGAGTTGGGTTCCATGAAGACCGGATTTTGTGTCCGGCAAAACTTCGACCCCATGCTATTTCCTGCGCTTTCCGCCAAGGGCTTGGTAACGATGGCGCAGCCTAGGAAAAAGTTACCCGAGCGATCGGTGGACGTCTTCTGCCAAAAGTGCCGGACTCAGCTCTACAAGTGAGTGTGTTCTGGCGTCAAGTCTCCGCTTTCTGTGCTGGGCTAAGAGGAAGACTTGGGAACGCCCGTCTCCTTCTCTAAATCCGAGATACAGCCGCACTCACTTTATACGGTGGCCCTTTGGGTGCGTCATCATGGCGCTAGGAGATGTATCCTTCTTCTGGGGGGGTTAATGCCGACGGCAATGTCGTGACGGCGTTTCTCTTCGTACGAGAACCAGCTCGGCAAGGATGGTCATTGTGTGCCCCGTTGTGGTGACTGATGGTCTCATCGCTAGACTCAAGACTCTCGTATCCGGAAGTGACGGGCTGCCGTATCTCGGATTTCCCGATATTTATTCCGATCGTTCCACGGCCAAAGACACCCTGGTCAAAGTGCGATCGAGCACTCAAGTAGATTGCTTTTTGCATCTACGGGTGTATCCGAAAGCTGAGATACTTCGATATCCAAGGCATGTGGTATGCGCTTCGCAGGCATGGTGTCTGCATGTCTGCCCCCTTCTAGACCGCGCACAGAGTATCGGATCTTTCGAGGTCGGTTTGGGGATAAGTGGAGACCCCCAGTTATGCGAAGATTTCGGATAGGGTTAAGTTTCAACCCAAACCCTAAACCTCTAACCCTAAGTGTCTTTGTAGAGCATTACACAGGATTGATGTGTCAGAATTCCGTAGAGTGTTGAATACACCAAGGGTGAAATGCCTGCTCGTGGCTGCTCGTTGAACAAGATACTGTATGTTCCATTGGCAAGGAACACTTTTCACTTTCGGTGTTCCCCCTTGGCAGTCCGATTGTTCAGTTACATGTAGTCGTTGTTTTTCAAACTGTTTCATCACACAGATACAAAAAGGGAGGGAAAGGATCTCTGGTAAAGTGTTACAAGGAGCGCATCGTGGAAGACTTCACTGACGGAAAGCTGGAGTGTCCCAACTGTGGGCAGCTTTTTGCGAGGGACACCATGGTCCACGGGAGACCAGCCTTTAAGATGATCGGCGGCAAGGTTTATCAGAAGAAGTGACGCGGCGCTAAGCCTCGCCTTAGACACGGCATACTTCAGCCAGTTTCACTCTACTGTATATACTGGTTTGTTGTTGTAAACCACCATGTATGTGTTGCGCACGTCGATCAGATTGTTTTAGATCATACTGCATGCGGAGGCCTGTAACTTCCTGGAACGCTGTGCATGGTGATATCCATTGGATTACAATATATTGTGCCAGATCATCTAGCAACGTCAGTGAACACGAGTGGAAAGTGAACTTGCCACTGCAGACATCCACATCGACACATAGCATGGCGTTGAACTATGGTTCCCCCCCGCAGTGGACAAGCGTTGTCCCACCATCAGCTCGAACCTACATACGGTAGGCTTCTTTGGCCTCTAGCGTTATACTCAGTAGCAGTACAAACGCTTTTTGTCTGATTGCTTGTGGACACGCGTAGGTGCGTTGAAGACAAGATTATGGCTCGCCCGTTGGTTGTTGGGCTTCCGCCTGCTTTCTGCCTGGCCGAAGTCAGAAGGACAAACCCGCCCCCTGGGGATCGACTTTCCACGCTCGATATATACCACACAGTAGCAAGGGTTGGGGTCCTCATTGGTTGGTACCGTTGCAGGGATGCGGGTATGGTGAAGGAGAAGCTATAGTTTTGTTGTCGTAGACGCCAACACCTGGCGGTTATTGTATAACGGATTATGTAATGGTAGAAACATGCATCGTTGTTAGAGAACAGGATACCGGGGGTGACGAACAACAGACCTCGCGCACGCTGTAGAGAGAAGTCCGTGTAGACTGTTGCGCTTGAATGCGCGAGTGACGATTCGCGGAGTGCGTGAGTATGCCGAAGAATTAAACCGCTGGCCCACAATGACAACGTGTGTCTTGTCCCACCGACTCATCCATCCACTTGTCTTCCGAAGGTGGAGGAACGAAGAACGAAGAGTCGTGATTCCATTTCTAGAAACGGTTTTGAATTGGTCATGGTCGCCCCGGTGGCCTAGGGGAGCCCCTCTCAACTTTCTGACCCCCACGGAGTTCAGTCATCGGCGCTGAGACGCGCAAGTAGTGCTTCTGCAAGAAGCAATGTGAAATCACGGTCGATGCTGAAATACATACAAGTACAATTTTTCTCATGCGCCCAATTTTTTTCATGCCCAACACTCTTGTCTAAAATAGTAACTCAAATTTTGTCCGGAATGTACCCATCTCACGACCCTCGTATTTTGCGCCGAAAGTTCTAAGTGCACTGTGTGCGGTATGTGCTGTTCTCACATTCTACGATGGTATGATTTTCCCCTTGCGCTTCACGGGTAGATCTTCCAACGTTGGTTTTTACGAGTTCGGGCTGACAGGCAAGGCTTTTTACGTCTTGAATGTACGACGCAAACGCAATACTTCTTGGTCTATGCTTCCAGCACGGCAACGTCGTGGATGAATTGCAGTGGGGGGGCGTTAATATCACCGGTTGATTAACGCCGGTGTTCCTGTATAGCGCCGGTGAAAATGCTGGGTACAGACTGAATCACCAAGATACTATTTACATTGAATAGCGCCGGTCCCTCCGAATACTGTAGCTGCTATCGATGCGCCGGGCACATACGGTCGTTGTTGAGGGCCCTCCACTGTCGATGTTGTGCCGCTGGTGGTTGGTGCAATGCGTCATTCAGTTTGTGCCTCCAGGATATTTGGTACAAAAGCGATGCGCACCTCCATCGACGCTGGCCTGGGTGAAAACAGCGTTCGGTGATCTGCCCTGTTCTAACGATGCCAAATTTTTGGAGGGGAACGGTCATGCCATTCCTGCTCCAACTACGAAATCCCTACCATCATTTTTTGCTCGTGGGGATGGTAAATTTGACAAAGGGAAATAGACAAAGGTACCTCTCGGACACACTGGGTACTCGAAAACATGGATGGCGGAGGCCACGCGAGGGGCCCCTCAAAAACGAAATTTCCCATGGCTGGAAAACATGGAGTAAGGCCCATCCATACCATGAACAGCGCCAATTCTTGCGGACTGGCAAGTCTTCACCCACACGCCACCGCGTTGCACAAGTCGTCAAAAGGTTGCCCGATGTCGTCCGAACTCTCCGATGTGTAGCCACCACAGAAATCTACTTCATGTATACACAGCATACGTAGATTGTGACCCACTTGGGACTCACTTCTTGTCCGTTATTTTTCATTCGAAACGGTCGTCCGTGCGGTGACGTAGAAGGACGACTATTTTTCGAATGAACAAAAATCGGACAAAGGTGGGCATCTGGGACAAAAGTGGGTCAGGTGTGGAGGACGATTTTCCGAATGACAAAAACGGACAAAGAAAGGTTGAATATCACCGATACGACAAATATCACTTTCAGTACAGAGCACTAGGGAAGGGGTCGCTGGCAAGCGCCGCGGAGATGTATACTGGCAAGCCCAGTCGATGCTGGTCCACGTACTCCAAATACCTACCAAGAACGCATCCTCCTTCGACAACAATCACCAAAGAATCAATTCGAACATTCGAAAAACAGCAACACAAATCTCTAGACACCCAAGGGTATGACGATTTATCACGGCACGATTGTGGCAGGAAAACGGCGGCACACGCGCGGCCAGTCGATCTTTACGAAGCCCTCAACGCCAACGCCCCCGTTCACAGTAGCACAGCCTGTGCAACCCCCCAGCCCAGGTGTGCAGCGTGCAGCCGCGACAGCTCACCCACCGACTTGTGATTCGCGGCAATGCATCCCGTACCGGTTTCGCGGTAGGCTCCCACGGGCGATATTGTCAAGACTACCAAACGGCAGGCAAACTTTGAGTGTATACTAAATCTTAGACGACAGCTTAAAAAAAGGAAAAAGTTCACTCTCGCAGACAAGCATCGCAACTGTTGTAGAACCAAAAGAAGTAAAAGCCTCGACAAGGGTCGCCCAAACGCTCACACATCTACACCAACACCGCAGCAGCATTCTATTCGGCCGCAACAAGCAATGACACAACGATACCGGGGGGCTGAACGCACACAATATCCACCATCGCTGCTATGCATACCCATATGGTACACACTACCTTCGCCGCGCAGGCTAAGGCGCTCCAATTGTGCAAAGTTTCTCATGAAGGGGGCTCGGCAATCAAAAGTGCGATTCACTCCCTTGGAATACAACGGGTCTCCATAAACCTTCGGCGGGCGTCCTTTGTTCATCGCTCTTCGGTATACATGTATTACAAGACCAACGTGACCTTGTTCAATCTATTAAATTACTGGTGAGACCAGTTGCGAATGACCGCACTGAAGCATCACTCCCAAAACTAGCCCTTCGTAAAAGAAAAGGCCTACTTCAGTTTCGAAACGACACCAGATCACGAGCTCCCACCCGCACGGTTGAACTCATGTACGAACGACTCTATCGCCCCCGTAGGGACCAAACATCTATTGCTGTCGCCGATTTACATTGCCTCAAGTCCGCACCAAGATCATTGTCAAGCATTGCCTCTCCGATGCAAAATCAGCGACGTCTCGCGTTCCCCGTGTATATCACGAAGAGCTGTTCTGGGTTCGCGGATGCTCGCTTCGTAGCGGCTACTCCAGGACCTAACGGTCCACAATCACTATCGCCGTGTGTCTGCGCCTGTATCTCGCAGCAGCCCAAGAGCGAGAGCGCGCGAGAAGAAAACCAAGTGGTTTTCCCGAAGTGTTTTTCCATTCGAGAGACTCCGTGGCGCGCGCTTGAATATCGTATTCTCCCACTAGGGGAAAGGCTGGCCGCAAAACGCGTGCGAAAGGCTTGCCGCTAAAACGCGTGCATGCGCCCCCACTGCGAAGAGCCGTCGCCCTTCCGCTCAACAATTACAAGCATTAAAGTTGCGTCTGCTTGAAGGCCACCGTCAGTTACACCACTCGATCGAATGGCTTGTCTCTATGACGAGCCGCTTCATTCAGCAAAGTGCAAGAGAGCAGGCGGTGCAAACAGCACAAGCCTCTGGCGACCAACACCTGCTGCAGACTTGGTCCCCAGCGACACCAACGAATGTTGCTGCAACATCGAATCGTATCCATGATCGATTCCATAGCCATCTTCAATCTCGTCGAAACCGCCCATTGTCAACGCTTGCCGACGGCACCTTGAGAAACTGATGGGCATGTGACAAGTTCACCGTTCATGGCTGCATCGATCCAGTTGCAGAGGCGACGGTGCCTTTTCCTGCGGAGGATAGAGCATTGAACGAATTGCAAGCAGCTGCGTCTTGTGGACCAATCGGAAAACGTGTCGTCGGCAGCTGGTTCTGTCCGGCACGCCAAAGCAAGCCGAGGCGAGATACACTTGCATGGTACATGTTTGCATGGTACGTGATTGCATGGTACATGATTGCATGGTACATGTTTGCATGGCACATGTTGCATAGTACATGTTGCACGGTACATGTCACATGGTACATATTTCATGGTACGTGTCACATGGTAAATTCTGCTTCGTACAGGTGTCCCCCTTCACGCCGGTAAACTTGCAGCAACTGTCACGAGAAGCCCACGTCTACCCAGGAATGCTTGTGTTGTGAAAAGCTCGAAAGTCCTACCTACGGCCTGCGACGACCGCACCCAACAATGCAGCATCAGAGAAGGTGATCGTCGCAGCAGCACGCCTTGCGACTACTTAAACGACGGCTGCATTTAGGTCGCGATAGGCTCTGAAAGGAGAACGAGGTAAGCACGAGCTGGGAGAAAACTCCACGTGCGAACACAGTCAACACACGCGGCAAAAAACGGAACGGCTCAGATGCTGCCCAAGTGAACGCATTCCACGACGACGGTGTTGCCAGGAAGAACAAATTAACCGAAAACTAACTTTTAACGTGTAAGCTCCGTGCTCTCTACCCCTCACCACGAGCGGACTGTGCCACGATCGCGGAAGCGACAGCCTTCTGGTGCTGCTCCATTCTCTCCAACAAGTCCCAGTCAACGGTCTGCTTCTTCTGCCACTGTCGAGCTATCGCCGCCTTGATCTTCGCCAGCAGCTGCAACAAAGGCAGCACACGAGGCAAAGCCGACAACAGCATCATCCCCCGCCTCGGTCTGCGGCACTGGCCACAACCTGTTGGACACCATCCTCATTGAGTGCTTACACATACCGTCCAAGAGAAAACATGATGTAAAACACTCAACCAATCACAACCGTTCCAGCTTGATTTCACAACTCACGGTGGCATCCACGCTAACACGACTGTCCTCAGAGCACAGCTCCGGAGCGCCAAGGCCGTCAGAAATGAATGCAACTCTTGTGTGAACGACTCTGCGGAAGGCAAAGGCGCAACAACAAGGCTTGTACAAACAACGACACGTTGAGAACCTACACCCAACAATCTATAGCCGCAGCAACAGACAACGGCAAGGCCAGAATGTGCTTGCAGCTGCCAGCGTCGATGCGGACGCGATACCATTGTGAGCGGTGCCGACACCCATCGCGCTCCATCCGCATCTCATCTCGTGTCTCACCTGCGGTAATCGAGCCGGAGCACAAGCCTCCACGATACCTTGCGGCGTCGTCCGCAGGCACATCGCACGGCTCATCTCCCTGCGCAGCAACAGGGTTAGCGAAAGCCGTGAACGTACCACACGGACGGTTACGCTATAATATAATAGTGGCACAGGTTCAAAGTAATTGGTGTAAATGAATTACGTCACCGTACACCATTTCACAAAAATAGTGGCAAACGTTGACAGAAACTTGGTGTGGATAAGATACGTCCGCCTGGTTCCGGATGGGCAAAGAATACGGATGGGTTTAGAAACTATCTTGGGGGTCTATCTCCACAGAACGAGCCCCGTCTAGTGCAAAGCATGACGAATTCCTATTCGTTGCTTGCACCGGGACGGGACGAAACAAACCGCAAACCGCCCGCCGTCGTGCCTGACGCCATCGTGACAGTTCATACGGGAAGCACGCAGGTCGTTTACACCCACCATTCCTCCGAGGCCGTGGTAAAACAACTACGGTCGTGTGTGTGTCCGGCCGCATTGTTGCCATCACGCGAGCGACATATTCACACAGTTCAAGTACCTCGCAGCAGTGGAACACACACGTGCACGATGTTTGTGTGGGTTTGCTTGGCACTCACCGTATTCGATTGACGCCCTCCATCCGTTGTGTTGTAAACCACGGTTGAAAGTTTGGGCTGTCCATGAAACGACGGTACAGGGTTTCCCACTGTACGTGCACGAACGCCTGCATGACAAGTGAGGGGCGGGGAACAAGACGAAACGAAACGTGCCGGGCGATGTTGCCTCAAAAGTCGTGACATCGCCTGCCTGCAACTCACCCACTTCGTACACGCAGTGGCACAATCGGCCTCTCCAATGTTCGGACATATGCATGAACATACAAAATTTTCCTGCCTGCTCCGTGAGTGAAATCACAGCTAGACACCGACACAAATCACCAATAGCCACGTCTGACCAACCACCAACGCAAACACGCAGACAGTCAAAAGAAACAAGGTGTAACTTCCTGGGAGACAAGATGTACCTTCGGAAACAAGGTGTCCTTCGTGGAGACGAGGTGTATACCTTCGAACACAAGGTGTACCTTCTTCGAAACGTGGTGTACCTCTTGGGAATAACGTGTACCTTCATGGGAACAAGGTTTACCTTAATGACAAGATTTACCGTACCTTAGGGGGTCCCGCCACGAACATTTCGGTGAGGAACTCTTCTTGGTCGAAGCGAGGTAGCAGCAACTCCGCCTCGGTGTACACGGACAACCTTCCCAAAGCCTGGGCAGACAGACCAAACACATAAATTTGATCGGAGTTTGGTGACGCCATTCGAGGCAAGTGCGGAGGTAAACGAGAACATAGCCAGTGCATTTGCAGTGCAAGCGTAGTGGTTCGGGCGAGAGCCCGCACACAAAGGGCACTCACCAAGTAAGTTGATGCTAACGAAACCCACAACAGAAAATGAAAAGACATCCGAATGTCCTGTTGCCGGTGCCGTGGCTGTCACAAGTGATGAGCTCGTGATGAGCTCCCAATCCTTTCTCACCTCCCAACCAGAAATCCACATACCGCATCGCTCCAAGCACCAAAACCTTCATACCGTGACCGCGGGTACCATCAGTGTTCACATGTCAGCAACCTAAAAATCGGACGCCAGGCAAGGCAGCACTCACCAAAGCCTGCCATGCCGACAGAGCCTGTGGTGGTCTTGCTCTCCGAAAGTACTGGTCGTACGGTGCCAGAAACGACCTGCGGAAAACGAAGCAGAAACGCCGCATCGTAGGTATCGTAGATGTCATACGCATGAAATACCATGACGTCACATCTTCAGTGGGCACATCTGCACTCGTCGCCTTGCCTTACCCTGCTGCATCGAAGGCAAAATGTATCGTGAGTAGTGGTACCGGTAAGGTCGTCGAAACCGTCATGCTGCATCGCATACCTGGAATGCCAAACCCACGCAGGTATGTACAAACATTGCATACCACGCCCAAAACGGACATTAACAACGGACTAGCAAATCGATTACTTTTCCAGCAAATGGACGGCTCGAACTAGAGTGACGAAGTTGGGCATAGGGAGTGAATGGGCTAACGCTGAAAAGGCACAAAGGTACGGCGTTCGAAGACAGCAAGTCGAAACAGGTACGTGACGTCAAGTGAAATCTTCCTGGCATGACGGCAAATCGTTCGAGACACAAAAGTAGGACCACAAACACGGCAAAACATACAGGCCGGCAGTGACATGCTATCAGCTGGCCTTGTGCCGCAACTATCACGGCCAAAACGCCGTTTTTTCAAGGGGAGATCTCCTCTTAATATCCGGCGAAACACACAAGGTTAATCGATTGTCGTACGCTGTAGTGGAAGCACGGTACAATAATCGGCACACCAGTCTCCCCGTAAGGAACACTGCCAAAAGTTTGCGGTATGAGTTTCCCGCAAAGATCCAACCACCGTACCGCGCTACCAACGCCGCTATATCTTCCATGAGAAATATGCATAAAGCTGATGGAGCCACTCTCCAATACAATTAGTACCCGCACGTAACAAAGAATCTTGACGTTGATTAATTTTGAAAACAAACGCAAGAGTGCCAGAAAATGCACAAGAGGCATACAAGACCAGTCGGAAGGAGTGGCGAAAAACAGAAATCGTAGGTTCTCGCACAAGGCGGCTGTAGAGGCTGCTCTACACATACATTTCACGCGTCTACCTCCATACGCCTCCTTTGAAATCAAGATGAAATTCACAACATTCTAAATTCAAGCCAAAAGAGCCAAAATGGCAGGCGCTCAAACAAGGTCGGGTTTGCACTAAGTTCTATGCATTCTACTTATACCACTTGGAGGACACCCTAAGCAGCCGGGGGGGTGTATTAGCGCCCTCAGATCTGCATCTTTGGTGGTGATATCGAGGGTCGTAAGAGCGGCCTACCATCTCCGCACATTAGACGGACATCCTGTGTCTTGTACGGCTTGTGCTCGCCGCCACTGACCCCAATCCCCTGAACTATGGGTTGACTGCAGTAGCTGATGACACTAACTACTGCTGACGACCCTCCATTCAGGGGTTTATGGTCCGTCGGCCAGTTCCGGCGCAGATTTCGGACTGTGCTCAAGAGTCTGCTGCGACCTTCGGTATTTCAGCTCCAGTAGCAAACCTGAACGTGCCAGCGCACAGAACGCCTCTTCATGCTGTCCTCTACTGGTAGCAGTAGAATGCAGAATGCTTTCCTTTCTAATATTGGATTTACGACATGAAATAGAGCCACCAAGGTCAAAATAGCTAGTTCTTCGATCCCTTCTCAAGAAATTGAGCCTAGAAAAGGCGCAAAATCTAACAAATTGAGCACCATTTCGTGCGCTTGGATAGGAACCCCCATACAAAAACCTAGTTAGCGGCCATTCGTAGCGTAAACCTAGGAATTACAGTAAGAGCCCCAGCCTCGGTCAAAACCAGAGGGTTTCTGTTCTGAAGTGCAGGCGCTACCTGTACATAGTACATACCGCGTCAGGTCCGCAAAATGTCTCCTCAGGATGATGTCGTTGATGGCTCGGAGGCTGTCCTTCCACTGGCCCTTGGTCTCGGGCCCGCCCTTGGCGTTGTTGGCCGCCTCCGCCGCCGCCGCAACGACGCCGGCGATGGGCGTCGGCGGCTGTCCGCCCTGGGCGGAGTTAGAGGCCGCGGCTGCCGCTGCTGCCGCTACCGTTGCCGGGTTGAAGGGGCTACTCGGGTCCACGAGGCGGGACAATACCGCAACGTCGGGGACCATAACCTGAAAAAAACGGGGGGTAAGCATGGCCCCGATCGATGGCAGAAAGCGATGGGAAGCCGCCCAGCACACGGCGCGTGTGACCGTCGGTGCCACCTTGTGAAGCTAGACTCACACGAAGGGGTGTCATCGCCACAGTAGAAAAAAATAAGGGATCACCACCGGCACTCCCCTTGAATGCAGAGACCCTCTGTCGGAGTTCTGATGAGAATCAGGGCAGCTGGACTGGGAAATTCCAATACCGATCATGAAGAAACCTTGAACAAACGAAAAATGCGGAGTTTCCGAGTCTCGGCAACACTTGAAAACCAAGCGGCAACGAGACCGCCACCTCCTTGCCTTGCTCGCCATGCTACTAATACCGTCCTCTTAACTCTTGCCCCCGGCAACAACAAAATAGTCCCGGGATCATTCCGCAGGGGAGTCTGCTAACAGGACATACCACGAAACGAGAAATCTAGCATGGAAGACCAGTACCACACAAAAAATGATGCCTCCAAGCGGTCGGCGCGCCGTACCCCCTATTCTTCACCAAAACAGCTGGGAACTGCGAGGTCTGCGGCCTTAACGGCATGCACAGCTATGAGCACACACACACACACACACGTATGCGTACACCCCCCCACCCCCACAGCCCGTACCATGAGCAGCAAGCAAGGTCTCAAGGTCTAAAGATCTCTCACCGGTTGCTGCCTTGCCACGATGATGGGCTCGTTAGGCCTGTCGTCTTGCCCAACCACCTGGTCGAGGCTTGCCCCCGCGCGCACGACCTGAACGCGGACGGGGGCGGGACGCGGGGACGCCAGCCCCTCCTTTGCGGGCGTCGGACAGTTGCGGTTTCTGCATCGCGGGAGAACAAGAAACACGGGCCAGCCAGGCAGCGTTGCCACCGTGGTGGGGGGGCACCGTGCAGCACGTGAGGGGGAGAAGAGACGCGATCGATTCCAGGGGGGGCGTGTGGTGAGGCATAAGGGCGCAGGGGGAGATACTTCGGGTCGAGAGGAGTGGCAAAGACTAAAAGTGTAATAATGGACGTCCAGACCAGAAAGAATTCGATACATCAAAGACTCCTTCCCAATGCGCTCCAGTATCTCCCCAACAGAGGGGAAACCAACATAACAAAATAACGGCATGACCCGTCTTCGTTGGCGCTGACGCTACGGCCATTCTAGCACACTTCGTCATTCATGCAAGAGATACGGGTATCGTCCGGTGCAGACAGCAGCGAGCGGTCAATACAGAGCTGCGAGCTGTCAATAGGGAACAACCCATCTTCGTGGTCGCTGTTTAGACGTTCTATGCGTACGAATGTTGACACTCGACACCTTCTACCAACACTACCGGGTGTGCTGGATCTCGCAGGACTCGTGCCCGGAATCAGCCCGCGGCCACACGAAAAAAAATGCACGCTGTACTTGTAGTCACCCCAATCGTGCAACTCTTGCGCCAAGGTGCGTGCGCATCCAAGCGCGCCGTTGAGGCTTATCGCCGCGTCTTATCTTGGTCTCACTTGGGACTGCCGCAGGGGGCTTCCTCAGAGAGGTTTTTCTGAAGCTTGTGGAACCCAGCCTTGCCGGCGGTGGGGCTTCTGCCAGGCGCTCCAGGCAGCACGATCGCGTTCGGCCACCTGTTCGGGGGAAGGATCCATTCCGAGGAAAACGGGAAATCACACGGATTATTCCACGGGTCGCTGAATGATAAGGACCAAACATATTCCGTCGCATATCTTGAACTCAATAGTCCATTCATAATACGGAGTCTTTTATTCCGTTGCTAATGTACTTAGTCCATTCCATGGTTCCCACAGCAACACCACTCATTCGTTCGTTGCCCAGTTCTTTTCATGGTTCGTTTCATGGTACGTGGCAAATGTCAAGGGTCGGTACTTTCCAAGTTTCAAGCCATGGGTTGATGCAGCGGTTTGGTTTCAAAAGATGCTTCAAATTGCGGGTGGTGGTGAACGACTCGGTGGAGACTTGACGACGGTTGCAGAGACGAGAGAGTTACTGGCAAATGGCCATACGAGCGTTTCGACGCTGGGTGCATCTGCAATAGCAGCAGCCACTCACCACTCATCCCCTCCACACCCAACACCCTCAATCAGCACAACGCAACAGTTCTAGAATTGACCTGAAGGCTACGATTGCCTGAAACAAAGGGAATTGCAGTTTAACAGCACAACCGCACGAAAAAAAAATATATCTTTCTAAGAACGAAAATGCAATCGAATGTCGTATATACCTTACCTTGACAAGGTCCTGAGGAAGATCGGATTAATAACGCCTAGCAGGAGGCTAGGAAACCCGCCCCCGGCGCCCGCCGCAGACCCTGCCGCGGGTACGCCTAGAACCGAGGACCTGGGAAGCGAAAAGGAACATATGGGCCAATCACAACCTCCTAGAGGTTAGGCCTGGCACCCTAACTTGCACACCGGGTGCTTGGAGGCATCCCAAATCATTGTTCCCGTAGACAAGGTATCCATTAGGCCAGTATTGGTGGACAGTGGAAGTGTTTCCGACCGCTCTTTGTCTCACTACTCCCCCCTTACGCCGCCAGCATCAATCAATGCAGCCAATATAAATTACGAACGTCGTTGTGGAAAATAGGTGCCATGTGCAGCAGCAGGCGACACCACACCATGCACTTTCGTGAGGGGCGTCACGCATCTTCGGAGGGGTGCCTCATGAACTCGGACGAATCACATGCTAATTTTGTCACCGAAAACTAAATACGCCCGTCGGCTCAACCACTTGCGCTACCTCACATTGAAGGACGCGCAACCCACGGTCTGATCGGTGGCAGTCAGACCTGAACCAACTGCTGTTAACCCACGGACGAGGACACAACAAAAAAGCAACCACGAAAATACATACGCCTGAAAACCACAAAAAAACACGTCAACAGAAAAAGATGCGTTCAGAAACCGCCAACCATCAACAAAAAGTATACAACCGGCACAATGCCATGGTATCATACCATGAAAAAGTATACCTGCGATAAATATAACTTTTCATGAAAAAGTAATATTATCATTGTAGGCTGCTTGCTTGCTTGCTTGTTTGCTTACCCCCACATCTGCTGCTTGCTGACTTTGTCGTGGGCGGCGACGATCTCACGGTAGTCCGGGTCGAAGGTAGTGAAGTGCGGCCGGAAGTCCCCTCCGTAGTACACCGGGGAAGCGAGGCTCACCTGTCCCACCCGCAAGAAAAACGCCACGCGTACCGCAGGCATTGAAAGCACGAGAAAATCAGACTTTTGCACGCTTTCTCAGGAGACAACGATCGGTCGGTTGGGACTCACAACCCTCTTGAGACGTGGTATACAAGAACACCCTATTTCCGAACAGCAATGAGAGCGAAAGCTAACCAGCCGAGAGTGGCCGACGATTGGCGAGGACCATCCCAAGAGTGGCCGCCGAGAAACCGTACCATCCTAGAATGTCCGCCGTTGACGAGGCCCGATAAGCCACGGCGACACCGCGAGGCGCAGCGGAAATTTTGGATAAATACCGTACAATTCAAGAATGGTCGCCCCATGACGGCGCCCCAGATCAACTACGGACATACGGCAAGCGTAGACAAGAATATGGACTAAAACCGTACCATGCCACGAAAGGCCAACGACGACGACGCCCAAGAAGCCACGACCACACCGCGAGAAAAACCGTACAATCCAAGAAGGGTCGACGACGACGACGACGCCCAATAAATCACGGCTACAAGCAAAGTCGCAGATGAAAACATGGGCACAAACCGTACCACAAACCACCCCAAGAACGGTCGCTGACGCCGACGCCCCATGAACTACGGCTACTTCGGCAAGGCGAAGTATGGATACGAACCGCGGTGCATACCATCATACCATCCCAACAATGGTCGCCGACGCCGACGCCCCATATACTATGGCTACGGCTACACGGCAAGGCCAAGACAAAAAACATATGGACCAAAACCGTGGTTACGTACCATCCCAAGAATCGCCGCCGACGACGCCCCCACGCTAGACCCCAGCACGAGGGTCGGCCCCCCCGTGAGCACCAGCTCCCACAAGAGCCACAGGTGCTCGACAAGCTTCTTGCCGAAGATGCTGTACAGCCCGATGCTCTGGAAGAGGCCCTGCTTGGCTCTAAAGCGGGCTTCGTCCGCCAGGAGCATCTCGGCGAAGGGTGAACGGCCTGCTCGCAAGTTGCTGTTGGGCCGAATGGTTGGATGGTTGGGTCGAATGGTTGGAGGGTTGGGCCGAAGGGGTTTTCATAGCGGGGAAAGAGAGTGAGACGGCCAACACTTGGTGAAGGTGATGACGTGCTACCTCGGGATGTTGAAATTCGCACTCGGCATCCGTACAAGTGCCTGGGTTTGTAGGATGTACCGTGTGCATAGGTCTGCAAAACCGTGAGACAGGGAGGTGCCATGGGTGAATGGGTTGCGGCGCGTGAGTGCTGGAACGGAGTGAGAGAGTTCACGACTTGAAAACCAACGAGAGGAAACAGCCAATCTGCCGTCATGCGGTATCGCGCACACAACCTCGGTGGACAAACAACGGCAGCACCTCCGGGTTGGCACAGGGATACGGAAGGTTTCGAGCAATGAGGGTTCCCACCAACGGAAAAAAAAACGTTCTCGCGTCAATTGTCAAGCACGGCAGCTGTTCAACCTTTTACAAATACAAGCGAAACAGGCGCCCACGGCCAAAACAGGAGGTTTGTTTCTTGATCCGTCGTGGCAAGCAACTGCTGCTATTCCGCACGGAAAACCAGGGGGGTAAGGCGGACAAGAATGAGCAACGATAGTAATACAACAGATCGCCCGGTACAGCAGCATGTCCGCATCCGGCCCAAGCACCTATAATTGTACGTGAGGACAATCGAACCACCAAGGCCGACAGAGCAACACGACGCCGACAGTGCGGGGCGCTGCTGTCACAGTAGGACTTCAGTCCGTACCTACTTTGGCAAGTCGCGACAAAAGCGATATCGCACGCTACGGTACGGCCCACTACACCAGCGTGTCGCGTGCAATTGACACAGTCCTACCTCTTCGAGTCTTGCTGCAAAACACGCGAAATGATGGCCACCGGGCGGCACGGCGAAGTGACCACATTGTACACACATGTTGTACACACCTGGCGGTGCGGTGAATCTGGACGTTCCTGTTATCCGGGCTGCCGGACCTGTGGAACGTCGACGCGCGTCCCTCTCTCCCGAACACCGAGCTGCTGGAAGAGCCCCTCCTAGCGAGCTGCCTACCGGAGTCGTCGCCCTCGCCCTCTATATCCTTACCCTCAACGGCACCCACACCCGTATCGTCTCTCTTGCCCTGGACGCAGCCACCGCCGTCACGCGTCTTACCCGTGACCGCCACGGCTTCCGCCTCCGCCGTGATGAAAGCCCCAGGAACACCCACCCCACTACCTCCAACCGCGAAACCCCCAGCGGTTGCCGTCGTTAGCAGCGACAAAACTCCTCCGCCTTCCTCCTCTCCGGCAGTCGAGCCCCGCACCCCTCCAGGCGCTACGGGCCCCGTCTCCTCCGGCGGCGCGGCAAAGGCACCTGCCGAGCTTGGTACTCCCCTTGGCGCTCCTGCCCGCAGGTCTTTGCGGATGACACCACTAGCAGCAGCGGCAGCAGCAGCAGGAGCGGCAGCAGCAGCAACGTGTTTCGAACGCTGCAGGTCCGCACCCGGCAAGGCGCGTCCTCCATTTGACGCCTCCCTGGGTTTCGCTGTGCCCACGGCACCATTCCCATTTCCGGCAGCAACGATGCCCACCCCTCTCTTCGGCGCCGAATCAGAACCAGAACCAGAAGAGTCCTCCCGGCTGCTGGCCTCGTCGCCCGCGGTGGTCTGCAGCCCCGGTGCCGGTGCCGCCGCCGGCACCGACCTCGAGAGCGCCTTCGCTTCCGCGCCGCCGCCGCCGCCGCCCTGTGCTTTAACCCTACCGGGCAACGTCAACAAAGTCTCCTGGCCGCTACCGCCGCCGCTACCTTCACGACGGATCGACTCCGCGACGGCCGCAGCCGCAGCCGTCGACTCCTTCCCCGCGAGCGCCGCGGGCAACTCTAGCGGTGCCGGGACGTCCCACGGGTCTTCCGGCGCGGTGTCCGCCCAGGCGCGGAGGGCAGACCAAGCGCCCGTGGACCTGGGGTTCGGTGTCTTGCTCGGCTTCACGGCCGCGAGGCTGTGGGGAGCAGCGGATCGCGGTGGTGATAGGCTCGTGGCGCGACCCCTGGAGGAAGAGGCACCGGGTTTCGTCGTACGCGGAGCTGCCGATGCGGAGGCGGAAGATGCTCGAGACGGAGAAGCAGCAGCATCAGCAGCAGCAGGTTGGTCGGTCTGGCGAGCCTGTCTCACGGCGGCATGAGTGGCAGCGGCGGCAGCGGCGGCGGCGGTTGCCGCAGCAGCGGTTGCAGCATCCATAGCAGCGGCGGCGGCAGTACTTGCCGCTGCGGGTGCACGACCACTCACGTTGACGCTGCCATCAACACCTGTGACCGTCTCTGGCTGGTCGCCCGTAGCTGCTGCGTGTCTCGGGGCATCTGACCGGTCCCCTGCTACTGGCAAGCCCGCCGGGGCCGCCACCTCTGATTGGCGTCCATTCTCCAGCATCGTTTCGCCGGCGCTACCCTCCCCTTCTCGCACTCCGGCATCCCGCCCGTCGCCCCCACCCGCCCCCGCATCCTCCCGCCCCCCCGCGGCCTGTCCGACGGCGCTTTGGTCGCCTCCACCGTTCTCCACCCACCGCTCTCCCTGCCAGCCTTCCTCCTCGAGCGCGAAGCGTTCGCCCATGTCTTCGTCCTCGTCGTCCTCTTCGCTATCCTGGTCGGCAACGTAGTAGCAACTCTGCGCAAGGTTCGACCCGGCCCTGCCGTCCAGAGTCAAGATTGGCGTGCTTCCGCTTCGCGGTGTGGCCAACCAGTTCTGTTAGCGGCAACCGGTACGCGTACGGAGAGCGGGACGGGACGGCGGGTCGTGAGCCGTCAGTCGCGCACCTGTTGGAAGGCTGCTGTCCGTGGGGCAATGATAGTCCGCGTTGTCAAAGTCTTCCACAGCCTACTGTACTTGTAGCAGTAATTGTGCTACCTACTCTATCCAGGACTGACACGCATACTTTGCGTTCGACCAACAGCAAAGCTTTCAAGTGAGTAAGTACCCTTTGGTACCTCCTGCACACCGCACTGCTGTTCACAAATGCACAACGTAAGGTGCCCAGCTGTTCGGTCTGGGTCTCGCGCAATAATCGAAGAGCCACTCCTTCCCGTGCGAGTCGACTGCGGCTTAAGCTTAACCCCAACCAGGGGCGCCACACTTCTTTCCCGCTATCGATCGTGTCGATCACTGGAGCTCGGCAAGTCGCGTCATTACATACTACAACGCACGTCGACCTCGAGCAAGCAACTGCTGTCATTGTGTGGGTTCGAGACAGCAGAAGGAACTACCCGTCATCAGTCCAGAGCCAGCGGACGGATACACCACAGCAGGACAAGCGCATCGTTACACCCCCCCCATAAACGTAGAAGAGCTGCAAAACGTCAGAGAGACCGAATGAGCAGACTGCTGCATGAAATGTTTCGCCTTACCCTCACCTGATTCAGCAAACGGACCAGGAATTCCACAATCACCTCCCACACGTTCAACACTGTACAAACAGGCAGCGCCGCTCCCTTGCCAAACTCTCAGCAGCAATACTCCTCCCTTCGGCCGACGCATGCCCCCCCCAACCAGGGCAAAAATTTCCCCTCACCTCCGACGGACTTTCGCAAATCACGGAAGCCATAGAACCGGCGCCGAAAGACGATCTCCCGTGCCCCCCCGCCCGCATTCCCGGCGGCAGGCCTCCTTCCCCGAGCGCCTCACCCGCCGAAAGCCGGAATCCGGGAGACGTGAGCCCCCCCGGGCTACCACACGATCCGTTCCAAAACGCCCCCCCGCCCCCGCCGCCCCCCGGCGACGGCGTCCGCCTAGCCTGGACCGCACCCCAACCCTCCTGGCCATTACTCTCGCCCGTGGGGGTTCCGCAGGTGTTCTTCCGGTGGGGGGGGGAGGAGGCGGGGGCGCCGTCATCGTCGAGGGCGGCACCGGCGAATGGTCGCCTTCCCGCGCCCTGCAAACAAACGCTCGCACCGTCGGCGCTCGCGGGGTTACCGCTTCGAGGCGGGCCGCCGCCTGACAGGGGGGGGGGATCTTTGACGCTGCCACCGCCATCCGCGGGGGCGCCGGCGCTGGCAGAGTCTGCGCCAACTCCGGTGCTTCCTCGTCTGCTAACGGGATGCTGCTGCTCCTCCTCCTCCCCGCCACCGCCTTCGGGGTCTTCCAAAGGCGACGGCCCAACGCCCTTGCGGCAAGAGCCCGGGCTGCCGCCGGAAATCGGGAAGCCGGAGTTGATGCTGCCGCAGCCGCTGAGGGTGCGCGTCAAGCTCACCACTCGAGCCCTAGACCAGGAGGCACAGAGGTGAACCCCGCGGTGGTACCTGTAGTTGGAGGCCACCTGTGGAGGCATGTCGATGTCGGGGACCTGGAACATGACGGTCTCCCCTAGGAATGGCAGGGGGCATAGGGATCCCGGGCAGGGCGCGGGCCAGTCTTCGAAAGACGAAAATACAGCCTCCAAGACTGCCGATCCGTGAGTGAAGTAAAGCGGCCCGATCACCTGGAGGACGCATTGGAGGGGGCACATGCATGAGATGCACGCGAATGGACGGACTATGGTTGTAGCCGAAGATGACTGACCCCGTCTAGATATTTATGACACGAACTTTAGAGACCACTGGGTGGGGCATGCCCCCCTGACACTCGGAAAAAAAAGCAAAGCACGGACGAAACCACAACACAACACCACAATAAAACACACACACATGACAACGGTCGACGAAACGCTTCCGATGAGGCATGCATATGTACACGGGTAGGTTGTTTGGAAGAACCAAACAAGACGAAGAAACCTCACCTTCACCAGGCGTTCGAATAGGTTGACGTAAGGATAGCGGCTCACGACGACGACCGACTTCTGGAACATGCCACGGGCGCACTCCTGCACGGAGAGAGGAAGGGAGGGAGAACATAGGGGTCAACAAGTCAACTGGCAAACACAACAACAACAGCCTACAACAAAAAAAACTACATGAACGCTCGGAATCGAGGGGTGAAGGTGAAGCGCGCGCCATTCGCCCATGTACAACGGAGAGAGAATCGATCGACCCTTGAGACAAATGAAGGTACCGCACACTCTTGACACAGCAGAGCATGACTAATTTGCTATCGTCTTTCTGACAGGACACAAGGGGCGACGCGCAATCCAACAGCAACCCTTTCATGGTGCACGATGGATGTCGGCCATGTGAGCATCTGTCCACCGCGAAAACTTGCCCAGCAAATACTGGTCCAGCTGGTCTGCCCCTGCAGCATAGACCGAAGGAAATTCATGATTGCTTGAGGTAGCTGGAGCACCATCTCAACCTGGGGGTGTCATGACTGCTGAGCTGCCTGCCGCAAGATCACAAGCAGAGGCCGAGGTCTGCGCAACAACGCGCTTGTTCCCAGACGTGAGGAAGCAGCAGCGAGCACGGCTCATCTCGTGGTCTTGAAAGAAGGACGCGTGTTTGACGTATGTACTTGAAGCGTCAGATGACCACCGCTTTGCACGAAGAGTCGCCATGTAACAGTCGGCAAAATCGCCTACGCGGTCTGCCTCCTTGCCCGTAGAACCCTCACCCACCTGCTTCTAACCTCTAACCCTCACGAAAGCGACCTACAAGCTCACGCTCTTGCTCTGTGAATAACCCGACCGCCCTGACCGTAAGCCTACGCATACCTCGTTTCGCTCCTGCCTGAAGAACGCGTAGCAGTACTCGAACGTCTGGTCCAGCAGAGAGGAGCTCATCAAGGGCATCCTGTGCGACTTTCGCGTCCTGAGGCGGCGGCGGCGGCAGGGGGAGCGGAGAGGAGCGACAAAAGATCAGGGGACCATTCCGTAGACCGTTCCGTCGACCGCCCGCAGACCGTTCCACGGTACCCCAGCATGAGATAACCCAAGGCATGCATATATGGTGTCCGAGACGGTCATCGGGGATAGAACTGCGAAATGCGCATGTGGTTGTTGCTTGGCATGTTATGTCAAACTGGGGCTACAGTAATCAGTGTCGATCTACAGAGCCAAGCAGCTTGACATCAAAGATACGGGCGGGCGCGGAGACGCGTGAGCGTCAACGCAGTGGCCAACCGCCGCCTATGCCGTCACCCATACATGTACAGTCTACCATGTTCGGGCTACGATGCTTCGTCTTCGGCCCTACGGCCTAATACACAACGTATCGTAGCAGCAGTTTTCGAACGAGGGGGAAAGAGAGAGAGAGAGAGAGAGAGAGAGAGAGAGAGAGAGAGAGAGAGAGAGACGCGACACGCTGTCTTCCCCTTTGCCCACCGGAAGCAATAGAAACAATCCCCTATCTGCGTGGTGTTGCAGTCGGGCATTGCCAGCATCCGAATCCTCTGGCGATCTCCGTCATCCAGGCTGTCCGGGGGGTACACCTTCATCGCCACGAAACGGGTCCGGACATACCACGCGCAAAGCGTAGCATAGCGTAGCATAGCGTAGCATAGCGTGTCGCGGGCCGTGCAACATCTCAAGGTAAGAGAAACATCTATTGGTAGGAAAAATATCTCATGGTACAATAAATATCTCAAGGTAGATGGAGATCTCATGGCAACAAAACAAAATCTCATGGGTAGGATAAAGACCGCATGGTAAGATGAAGATATCATGAAAAGATGTCACAGCAGCGGGGCCTCCAGTCAGCCTAACACTCCCACGCCAGCCGTTGAAGCAGGCATGGCATCGGCAACTCTACACGGCCATTGCTTTGCCTGAAGGGCTAAGCCTAGGGTGGTTGTTTTGCGAATTTTTTTAAGGCGGGGTGAGCCAAAATTCTGGTTTCGCTGCCTGCTGCATAGGTCGCCCCCAAGCACAGCAGAAGGAAAGCGGCTCAGATTGCCCGTAACTCTTGTCAACTTGACGCAACGATAGAGAGCTGCGGCTGCTTGCTACACGCACGTTGAACGGGTGTCACGTACGGGACGTCTCATCTCGAGATCGTTCTGTGTACCCGAGCATCCGACAGTTGCGCTAACGCGCCAAAGTGTCAAAACATTATGTATTTCGATTCACAACGCGGCAGACCGCAGCCAATCAGAGGGGTCCCAAAGCTGGTGGTTGGAAATAACGAAATAAAGCAACAGTTCTATCTAAGGGTCGGTCTTAACGAAGACATCAGATGTCGAAATCACATTCAGATTTTGTTTTAAGACCGGAACATCCACAGAACTCTTTCGTTGATTGGCTGAAATGTTATGGAACCCGTCGAATCTTTAGGACTTCAAACAGGACGACCCAAAACCAAGCCGGAATTTGAAAAAAGGTGAAATCATTTAATCGGATCCTGATTTGGGTGAACAGCGTCCATAGTTGCGGGACCACGGTCTACTCGCATACACGACGCGTGCCCACCTACCCCCATCCACACGAACTCCATCCACCGCCGAGCACAGAGAAATAAATACAACACAAAAAGCCAACCCAAGGGGAGGGTGACTGCGCATCGTTGTTGCACGTGACTGGTGCCGAAAAAAAACGTGTGTGGCATGTGTTGGTCTGTGGGGTAACCTCCTGTGGGTTGTCGAACTCCAAATGCACAGACGAATTGGCGGCTTTCCGTCGGACGAGGGTCGATTCAAACTGTCACATGCATAGACATCGTGTCAGTACCGCACAGAGGCCATGTACGCGTTTGGTGTGTGCTTCTCGGGAGCGATAGCTCCCTATGTCGTGTGACCACGTCAAAACAGTACGTCACAACAGCAATCTCGCAGTTGGCAAGCGGCGGACCTCTCGAGTTGTTCGCGGTGGACTGCAGAGATTCGTTTCCATTTGGCAGATCTCCCGTAAGACACACAGGCCATTTCTTTCCGGATTTGGGTAGATCTGTGCTCTTTTATTCTTATTGTATCTAAATGTGATTTCGAGATCTGATTTCTTCGTTAAGACCGACCCTAAACATAAACATTTTGGCATACAGCAAGATACCAGCAAGGTTAGTTTAGTCTCCCACGTGATCCTATGCGTACCCCACAGACTCCATCAGGGGCGGCTGTGCGCCTAGTTGCTCCCTGTATGCGTATGCGTATGCAAATGCATACCAGCTTGCAGAAAGAGTGTACCGTACAGCAGTTGTCCATTTACAAGACGTTTAGCTTCGGCCTCCCAACGTACACATTCTGCCCCCCCTCAAAGCAAATACGCTGACTATTGATCGTTGCAACAAGCTTCACAAGAACATGGAGAACTGCTCCCTTGGCATCTATTTAGTCAGCAGAACGTGAATTAACAAGTAATTTGAGAAGCAAGGGCACGACAAATAACCCAATAAAATATCGTGTGTGCACGCAGGCATAACTAACTAGAAGGAAAGGGGCGCCCTTTTTTAAACTAATTCTGAAATTCTCTAGCTTTGGCGCGCCAGGAAAGCTTGGGCCGCATTCGTACGCAAGTCATATACCACTGCTGTAACACAAATGCCATAGACTACGCTACAGTTTTGAAGTGGTGGGGGGCGTAACCATGATAGCAGAACAGAAACGACGAGCAGTATTTAGTACAACAACGATCCGCTTGCGTACCAAGCATTCTATCTATCAGAATCAAGCTCGTCTCCAAAGAATTTGTTCTTGCAATCGAAAATGTGTCTATTTAACAAGTAGGCCCAAGGCCCGCGCCTGGCCCCTTCAACGTTCAACAACCTGTCAAGAGGCATGAAGAGACCCCGTTCACGTCACAGCTTGTCGTAACACCCGCAGGGGGGCTCTCAACGCTCCTACTGCGAGACAGGGTACGGACAGCTACTTGGGAGTACGCACGCGATTTGCCAAGCACACAAACTGGTCTGGTATGCGTACCTATGGGTTCGGATATTCTTCCCAGAGGGTAGAATACGGAACCGTTAAAATAGTTGTGCTCTCTCTATCTCTCTCTCTATGTACCTGCTTGCATGCTGCATCAGCAACGCCAGATTGGCCGCCCGCTGAACTATTTTTAACGAATTTAGCTACAAACCAGCGTCGCGGGTGGCGGGGTCGTCTGCTGCAAAAATGGGGACCAAAGTAATCTATTAATAATAGTCAACAGCAGTACTGTTGTCTTTTTCCACTCTGGTTGATGTACTATCCATGTGGGAACCACTGGGCGCGCAACGTACCGACCAACAACTGGAGCTCTTTAGACCAGCAGTGCTGCTGCTGCAGCGCTGAGGGGGCGGGGGGCGCACGATCGCAGACGCGTGTGCGCCGCCTTGCGGTCACTTCAACATCGGCAGGGTTCCCAAAGCTTGTTGGATACCACTGCGAAACACACACATCATTCGTTCGACGGTGAAATGTGGGTGCCGATATGTATCTACAAATACCGGCTCAATCCACTCTCTTTGGGTGTACTTGCCGATCGTTGGGAAACACACAAGCAGCCGCGAAGAGCAGAGCATCGTTGTTGTTCACCTGTTCAAGCGTGTGCCCGGTGCCCACGTCGAAGGTCGCCACGCATATCGATCGCACCCACCCGGCTCCGTCCTGCCCCTGCTGTTCCTCGTGGGAGCAGCGCCTAGGCCTGGGTCCTCCCGCTGCAGCCTCCCTCAAGCCCGAGGGAACCATGACGATTTACAGCAGGCGCGACGCGTATTTGTAGCTCAACCACCGACACCTCCACAAATCACACACACACCTGCCAACGAGTTTGATGGACCAGTACCGCTATACACACGCCACCACACAGAGATGATACCCCCGCTAAGAGGGTGAGTGCTTGCCGGACCCGCTCTCCCTGGCGACGGCTGTGTGTGTGATCAGGACTGCAGCGTGCGGAATTCAGAAGGGGGGGGACGGATTGAACCCCCCCCTACTAAAAACATCCAGATCTCCATAACTCCCCCGCGGCTCGTTTTGAGAGCGCCGCGCGCTCCGCGTGCCTGGCAGCGCGGCAGGTGGGCAGGTGGGCTATCGTTCGTGGTGTGTCGTGCGCTCCTCCGAAGCGAATTCCCAGAGAGGAAGAAAGGGAGGGGGGAGGTCACAGAGAGGGGAGGGGAGAAGAGGAGCTGCTGCTGCTGCTGCTGCTGCTGCCGATGCTAGAGAGTTGAACGCGCTTGAACTACACCATGCAGGCGGGGGACATCGTTGCCGCGATTGACTTGGGGACCAGCCGCACGGCCTATGCCTACACGGTCGTGGGGCGGGAGCACATCTGGCTTGGGGTTCCGGACTCCCCCGACGATGACCGCAACGTGAGTGCTCGCGTACTCTTGGGCTGTCTCCGTCTTGGCCCTTGGGTGAAATTGACCGATACAGCAGCGCTCAAGGGTCTTGCCGAGAGATTGGTGATTGTGTTCCATCTGCTTGTTGCCGGCCTTTCAGTTAGCCCCGACCGAGCCGCCCGATTTACCGCAGCAGCCCTCTGCTCCCTCCACGGCCGGCGACCTTGCCCGCGAAACCTTCCATCTTCGTGGGCATCTCGTCTTGGTGGTCTCTCCTTCGCCCTGTTTCCGACAACAGCAGTACAATAGTCTGCGTGCAATTATCTTTTTGGGGGATCAATATTTCTGGTGCTCCTCTCTTTCTCGTACTGCTACTTCTATTGTTGTAGAGGTGGTTTCGAACATTCCTACTCTGTCCCTGGCGGCTGGTTCTCAACCTCGCCCTTTCTATACATTCCACACTCGTCAGACACATGCATGACGTCCGGAGGTCGTGCTTAAACTTGGGGATGGTATGCAGGATGATAAAGAGCTCTCGCCCATTGCCCCCCACCGCCACCCCCGACCCACGGCTTTCGCCTCTTTAGAGGTCACCTGCGGCTATGGTTTTTGTTTCCTGGAGGGAGGCACATGCGCGCTGTTCACGCGCCTTATCCGCTAGTGATGCCGATGCCATGCGATGCCGCAGGAAAGTATTGGTTGGATGATGTTCAAAACAGCATGCCAGGTTATTGCCAAAGCGAATCGATCCCTCGTATGGCCTGCTTGTCTCTTGTCGCCCGCAGCAGCACGCGACGCCACTTACCAGCTCTCCGTCTTTCTATTTTTCTCCAAAGCGCCGCACAAGTAGCTGAGAAGCAATTTGCCGTTGGGTAATTTTTCTTGTGTGCATTTGTAGACTACCCGTGTACCACATTCCAAAAAAAACACTTTTTCAACTTCTCTGGTTTGCGGTGTTGAGTGTGAGAGTGTGCCGAGGTCGCCAGCGGGTTGTTGCAAAGCGCGCCACCATCGCACCCGCATAATCAATGTTTACCCATGCGTAGTACAACATCTCGGCCATCGGGTACTGCTGCTGCTGTGTCATGTGCGTGGCAGCAGGCGAGAGCACCCACAGCAGCAGCTCCGTGGGGTGTTTGCGGCCATGCGTTGCATGCCGCAACGATTGCCCTTCCCGCCGTCGGCCTGGTGCGTCCACCGTGGGAGTCCACTTCACGCCTCGGCTGTACTCTCGCCTCCAACAAACTTTTGCAGCCACTACTGCTGCTGTTGGTGACAATTTGGTTTTGGTTTGGCCCATGGGCACCGTTCAAACAAGCATTTTACCGACTTGCGTTTGTAGCGGTCGGTACCAAACGAAGCCCGTCCCTGGTGTTTAGTGTAAAGTGCAATCAAACTCAACGGTGGTAGGTGGTATCCCACAGCTCGTGCTAGTCGAAACTCCCGTTCATGTCGCGTGGGATGTGGGTTATCCTCTTGTATCCGAGGAGCTTTAATTTTCTCTGGGCATTCCCGGGTTAGAAGCATCTCGGGAACCTGCCGACGTGTGGAGCACAGCATCGGAGAACACGCCACCCCAAGCCGCAAGCCGCCCTGTCCCTCTCCGATCTCCGATCACGTACGTACATCTACAATTCGCACTGCAACTCTCTGTGGGTTCACCCAACGGAGATATATATTGGTGTTTTTTTCCGATTCTACCCAGGTGGCACTCTATCGCGAACTGCTGATCCGCGCGCGTACTGTAGCCGGAATGCGTGTATACTGCAACTCCCTCATTTCATGTTCGAAGGGAGAAAGGGGCGTTGAGGCAGGGGTATTGTGAATGCTTGGCTGGTATTTTTTTTTTGTTGATAAATTGTAGGCGTGGGGCGGGGCGTCCCCATCTCCATTGGTTGCTCATCTCTGGCTCTGTGGGGAAATTCGTGATGACCGACCGCCAAACTGGTATGTTCTGTCATGTACCTGGCTGTAAACGCAGCCTCCGTAGGTGTAGAATATTTGCTGCACTGGCATCGATAATATCGGGAACGCGATTCCTGAAACAAGCTTGCGCACTTGTGCTGTGTACCATAGGCGACATGACATGACACAAGATACCACCCCCCCTGGACTGACATTCAAAGCTCGATTTCTCCACAGCAGGAAAGAGTGGAAGGGTGGCTGTGCCGAAAAATGGCGGCGTCGTAACCGTCTCTGTCGTCGAGAGCCTTCCGGCGTGGGATAACTTTCGCTGACGCTATGGATTCATTGCTAATCTATCTTAGACTCTTTTGTTCGATACAGAGATGGATTCGTTGGGTCATACTGACAAAAAAATAAAAATATATTGATAATGGAGCTGTGAAAATCGATCCTGGGTGTGTGATATATCATGTGACCTACGGGAGCACGCTACAGGCAAGCTTGTCTCGGGAGTTAAGTTTATTGTCCCTGCGGTGTGTGTGTTCCCAAAGTGCCTTTTTTGCTTTGGGCTGGCTACCTTGCAGTGCTTGCAAGATCAAAACACCGGGGTTCCCCGGGCGGGGGGGGGGGGG